GTCGCGCGGGCCTCCAAGTCTTTTGTTGTTGCACGTCAGCAGCTTGTTTGTATATCAGTCCGACTGGAACACAGCAGCGCTCATTTTCCAATGATCGGCCCAGGAGGTAATTAAGCCCCTTCCTGGGAAAGGGACACGGGCTGTTTTTCAAACCAGGGGAAAGTGGAATTTTGAGTAATGGTGCTCTGAAAGAATTACGTAACCTGTCGAGTGAGATTGTACACAAGGCATTCTTCAATGCGTTATTTTGAAACACAATGGCTTCTAAATGCGCAATATTTTTTTTTCCCTCTTCCTGCAGGTGGACCTTCAGAAGGAAACACTGATCAACTTCCTGTCTCTGGAGGTCGGTCCCCTCATAACTTGTCAAAAACATTTCAATAAAAAGGCTATACATCCCCGGTGATGGGAAGAATGCGGTGGGTTGGGGCTGCCTGGAAAGAGTGGGAATTATAGCTCAAGAACCCAGACAGGAAGAGGGGATCCCGTCTCCTTCCTACGGCGCGGCCTCTAGTCACGGAGGGTGGCGCGAGGGAACACCCCTGACTTTTTCCACCAGCGGGGAGACCAGCTTCATACCTGCCCCTCTTTCACAAAGCTGCCATACAGTCGGGCATGCATGCTTAGTGGGTGTTAATATTCACATTCCAAACCCCTGACCCAAAGCCTCTTTGCAATAACTGCTGTTCGGAAAGACTTGAGGGTCGGAAGGACTTTTAATTACGGTACATTGTAACCAGAAACAAGAATAAAATGGTGGTGGGCCGCGCCGTTATATAAGCGGCACCTCATAAATTGAGGGCCACCTATGCAACAAGCTCCACATAGCAAACTGAATAACCATAACTCTGGGAAGAGCCCACTTAGAATCAACGTATCTTGGAGTCTGCAATTCGGATGCCGTCATCTCTTTAACAGTGACGTTTGTCAATAAGCAAGCGCAAGCTTACAAGTCAACGGCCTCCGGTTAATTACTGTAAAGCGCGCTGCGCGCATTTGCCCATCTCAGTTTCTCTCTTCCACAGTTTGAGAATGAGGAGCAGTACAACAGCAGCGTGAAGACTCTGCTTTCCCGGCTCCCCAAGCAGCGCTACCTGAAGTCCATCTGCGATGAGATCCACACTTTTAAAATGACCAAGAGGTACCATTCGGAGGGCGCGGGGGCTCGGCTGCAGTGCAATTAAAACTCATTCAGTACCAGCCAATTCTAGACCAAGTCTGAAAAGACGTTTAAAAACGTCTTTGGGAGTGAATGAGTTAAGGGTGTCGAATATACATATAAAGAATATATACATCTATATATAAAGGAAATGGCTTGACACTAACTAACACAGAGACATAGCGAGGTCGATGTACGGCTCGCATGCCTATTTAATACTCTCCGTCTCCCCAGCAATGTTAAATCCTCCGTGTTTGAGCCGCTCGTGTTGTGACACCCGTGAATGCCCTTTAGAGATCAGCCCCATGAGGAATCGTGGCGGCTTTTCGCTTGCATGACTGAGATGGTAGCAAAAAAAGAGACCCCCCCCCCCCCCAAAAAAATCACAGCCTTGCAAGCAAAGTTGTTTTTAATTTCCTGTCTATGTGTTTGAGTTACTATTTAGTATTTCGGTGAGTCTAAATTGATTAAAGCGCCTTACAGAAGTGAGGGGATTGTTTTTGGGGCGGTGTGGGGGGGGGCTCAGTACCTGTGTAGTTATTTTTGTTGAACTTGAGGCCTAAATAAGCAAGCCCGAGTGAGCAGGTTCAAGAAGGTCACCTTGCAGCATGAAGTCGACGTGTCCCGGGGGCTCAGCTGTCATGAGTAACTTGAAAAAGGCATTTGTGTGCCAGGTCACCTTCTCCCAACATAACTTTACAAATTCCTTTGAAGTGATTGAAGCTCATGAAGTGGACTTCTTTGGGCAGTTCCGTGGCGTCTCCTGCTTCTTAAAGTCTGACACACGTGTCGTCTTGCCCCAGGGTGGCTGTGGTTGTCTTGTACAGCTTGAAGGATGACTACTACAAGACTCTCGTGTGAAAACCATTCTGTTCCCTGACCCGGACCACTTCCTGCTTCCTGCTCGGGAAATATTCACCTTGAATTGTGTGCTCGTATGTCGACATGCACTAGCCCAAAAGACACTCTTCGCTACCTTCATCATACCTCAGCTTTGATGAAACTGTAGCACCCGGGTACAAGGTTTGTGGACTTCAACATTGCCTTAATGCTTGAGTAGGTGGTTTTTATTTTTAAACTGACAACAGTATTTTCTTGTAATAAAGAGCGGTACTGATAATAGGAATAAACCCTTTCTTCACATGCCTTGGTCTTGCGTGTTCTTAACCATTCTCACCCTCGCATGTCATCCTCACATGGTGTTGCGTGTTATTCCTTTCCGATGTGTTTCATCGAAGATGTGTTGGCTTTATTGATCCTTCCCGAGAAGATTCCCCACCTTGAAGATTATTGGCAAGGTTTGACGGACAGGGGCTACAAAGCTTGTGTGCTTTCCTGGCTTTTATGAGGCTGTTGGTTAGATGAGATGGCTTCTTGCCCTTACAGCTGAAGTCATCTTGAAGCAACAGACTGTTTCTGCTTAACATGCACTTTGACCATGGTTTGAATTCCCTATTTGGAGAGGCACCAGGATCTGCTATCCTACAGGTGAATTAAACACCAACAGATCTTGGATGTCTGCATTTGAGCAGATTCTTATATTCACAGGTAGACCACTTTGTTTCACACGTTTATTTCTCAAAAAAAAAAAAAAAAAGGAGTAAATGTTACAGTTTCACTTATTTACAGGGCTTGGAACAGAGAAATAAATAAGGCGATGATACTGAATATAGCAGATTGGTGTAAATGCTCTAAAATGTACAGCAGCTTTGGCGACCAAAGTTCATTCAACAAAAGAAAAACTCAAACTATAGTATTAATAAATAAGGCTACGTGAAAAAATAAATAGGGTACTCTTCTGCTCAGCTAATCTCGACTAGCTTTTTACACAAAGTAGAACAAAGGACAAGAAATCTTTCACACTTAATTTTAAAGCACATGATCATGAATCAAAGAAATCCGAGTCACGAGAACACACCAATATCAACCAATCGACCAATTTTGGCATCACAATCACGTTTTGGGGAAATAAGTTGGCATTGGTTTGAGTGGGGACTGAAAACGGAATTCCATTTTGATCCGATTGGTGTAGCACATGGCCACACGCTCGAACAATTTGTGTTTACTGGAGTGCTTTAATGAGGCCATCAAATCCCCGATTAGCGTGTTTATCCTCCTCCAAGAATCCTGCAGTTCCAAGAAAAACAAAAAAAAAGAGAAAAACAACGGAGTCGGAAAGTGCTGCATTTTTTTTTTTTTACATAAAAACGCTTTACGCGCTCATGTTCAGTGACAAGCTGTTTTACGGAATACTAGTGCCTCACCGAAAAGGGAAAAAAAAAGCTGAGAAAAGCCGAGCATCTTACACGTATGTATAGGAAATTTTAAACAATTGAAACATTAACATTCTCACAATATTTTTTATCTGACGAAAATATATTTTAGTCGGATTACATTATAATCAAATGTTTTTTTTTCTCATCATAGAAAAGCTGTCTTTTTTTTTGTGGCTCTTGTATTACGGCCTAGTTTGAATTATTTTTGTTTTGCTCCCTGTCTCCCGCTACAATTACAATTATGCTACTGCGTGAGTAACAAATGTGTCATTGGCAACGAGTGATGCTCTTCTTTTTCCTTTATACAAATCGGCCTACCATCCAAATAATGCTCAACCTGCTTTTTTTTTCCCCAGGCTTCCTTTCACAAACCTTATGTTGCCTCTTCATGTTTCTGAAACATAAAAGAAAACAACCAAAAGTGACATCAATGACATGAATCAGGAGTGATTTGGACAGGGGTTTTTGTTGTTGTTGTTGTTGTTTGTTAAGCAGTTACCGCCAACAGCTTATAAACAAACCTTTAAGGCTGTAGCATGAATGCTTTAAAAGGAGTCGTTGGCAACATTCAAAGACATTGGCTGAATCGTGGAGCAGTTTGTCAAAAACAAAACAAAAAAAATTAGTGGTCGCACAGGAGATGAAAAAAAATTGACTTGCACTGTCTCATAATTTCGGAGCAAAAAGCCACCATTTAGGGACAGTCTGGAGCCCTGAAACGACACCAATTTTGTCTCCTCTTTCGCTTATAACATTCTTCTGAGATGGACATCACTCTGATTCAGCTTCCAGATACGATGAAATATGAAAAACAGGCCGCTGCATAGTTCACCGTAAGTTGTGTGGAAAAAACGTTCGCGTTTTTCATGAAAGATTCCAGAGGGATTTCTTGGGGCTGATTTTTTTTTCTTTTTTTAAGATTTGAGCACATGGTGGGAATGTTTCAACCAGCATACATTTGGCCCTAAGAAGATGTCCAAAAAAAAATGTTGGACTAGAACAACATGAATACAGTACTGCTGCAATAAACACAAACTAAACAAACCACACATTCTCTAACGCAGGATGTCTATAAAGCCTGCCGGACTGTTACAATTTGGTGGCTCCAAATGGTTTACCAGTTCTTTTGGCCTCCCTGCTAATTGTACTGACAACATCCATGAAGCACTGCTGTAAACCTCTTATCTTAACCCCCCCCCCCCCCGCCACCCACCCCCAAATCCGGGAACTTTTTTTTTCCTCCCTCCCCTTTGTACTAGTCCACAAGGAGGTGAAAACAGGTGACAAGAGTTACAACGTTCTAAGTTAGTCTGACTGAGAAGCCTCAGCGATTGTGCAGTAAAGCTGAGTGACTTGTGTGTGTTCTCCCAGCGGCTCACGTGAGTGACGTCTGTCCATGCCGGAGAAGGTTCACACACACAAGAAAGGTCACATGAAATTCTTGCTTGAACCAATGTGGGGTGTCCTCTTGTTTTCCAGTCACAGAGTGAAGCGCAAGTAGCAGGTTGCATCCATGGTGTGTGCGCGTGTGCGTGTGTGTGTGTGTGTGTGTGTCTGTGTGTGTGTGTGTGTGTGTGCGTGTACGCATGAGATTCCATGGATGACAGCAGTACGAGAGGGTGTGATGTGGCGGACAGCTCCGATCTGCTGAAAGCTGATGTTAGCGCGCCGTCCAGTTGTTCGCCAGCTTGGCTCTTGGGATGCTCATCTTGTCCGAACAGGGCGAACTCGTCTCGGGGGAGAAATGGATCCCGCAGTCGTTCCTCACGTTCTGAAACTTGTTCTCCTTGGAGGGCTCCATATACACCACCTGGTTCTTGTTCACATGCTTCAGGATCACAGTCTGGAGAGCAGAAGTGAAAATGGGCGGCCAACAAGCAATGTGTGAAAATCCAACGTGACAAATTCATAATGAAGCACAAGTGGCCCTACGCCGAGGCTAAAAAAATCAACAAAAATATCACTCCAGCATCGAGTTGCAAACCTAAAGTCTTACCTTCTTCGGAGCACTGTAGCAGGACATCTGCACCCACTTCTTTTTCTTGTTGATAAGCACAGCAACAATGAGGAAGATGATGATGGCCAGGAGGAGACCTGCCAGTATCCAGGCGGCTGACTGGTAGATGAGGGCCATCTGTGTTTGGTTGGGGTAATTTTCACCCAAAACTGGCTCATCTGTAAAACGTGTACAGGAACCGACATTAGAAGAGGATTTCAAAAAAATAAAATAAATCATTGACTGTACGATTGGGTTGTTTCGAGAAAAATAAATACATCAAGGTTGTCTTGATATTTAACAAAGTCGTGAGCCCTATACCTCAAGCAAAAGCAATCCAAAAGGTGTTATTCAAGGTGTGGGTTACCTGTGTCTGCAATAATGGGCGGTTCGGTGACAGCGGCGTTCCCACCAGCCCGCCGCACACTTGTGGTGAGCCTTGTTTTGGGGGCGACGGTGGACAACAACACTGGCGCAGATGTCGTCATTTCTTCCCAAGACAGAAATAAAGGTTTGATTTTCAAAACGACGAGCGTAATGCAAAACCCAGCAGCCGTACAACCGTGATATTGTTTCGACTCCCATGTGTTTGCGTGCAAAGCGAGGAACTGCTCACAAGCCAAAGCAGAAAAACAAAGGGCGCTCCAACGGCATATTGGGTCGAACAATGGGATCCTATGCCGAGCTTTTCCCCTGTAGGAAAAGCTGACGCGGAGCTTCCTGCGCCGCCACAGAGCGAGCGTTGCGGTCCGGGGACAGGAAACACGTGTGAATGCGCGGATGCTCGAGGAATGTTGTTGCTCGATTCGACAGTGTGTACGTGTGTATGTCACATGGAACGCTACTGTGGTATTTGCCTATGCAGCGCCAGAATGGCGGGCTCTAACGAACTAACGCATATAGACCCACAGTCACTCCTTCTTTTTGGCAGGTACCGTTCTGAATTTGGACTTCCCCCCATCAACAGGCTGCGCCTTGTTCTACTTGTAGCTCTATTATGATCTTTATGTGCGGGGGTCTTGTACAAGCTACTATTAGCTGTGCGTCAAATAGCGCGGCCACTAAGACCTTTGCCGCATGGCCGAAAAACTAAACAGAAACGCTAACGGCCATTCCCAAGCTCCATTTTTATATTTGCATTCATTTATTCCCAACAGTCTCTTCTCTTCTCTTCATTTCGTAGCATTTCTCTGATTCCGTCACATGGATGATTTTTTTCAATCAGATTTCAGCTTCTATGTGCTGCCACATCAATCGAATCTGGCCACGGCCTTAAGAATTAGCAGTGCTGCTGACCGAAGTAACTTACTACTGTAATGGGACCGTCTCTTTAACCAGTCGGATTTCATTTTGCCTCAGAGAGTCAGCTAGCTAGCCTACAATAACGTCAACAGCTAGCTAGCCTACAATAACGTCAACAGCTAGCTAGCCTACAATAACATCCACAGCTAGCTAGCCTACAATAACGTCAACAGTTAGCTAGCCTACAATAACGTCAACATTTTCCTGTTCTCTGATTGGTTGGTGAGTGCAAGGACAAGCTAGACTTGGAATTCAATATTTAAAAAGTGTTTTCATGTTCATTATATTACTCAAGATGACATCGCACAATTTCATACTGTTGTACTACATTATAGTTTCGACTGTATAAATGTGACGAGATGGTGGTATCAACTGGCACACAACTAGATCTTAACTAAGATTTTCATGTGACGAAAACAATTAGTAGGACTAAAATAAACCAAAAAATCCCCGTCTTTTTGGGGGTTTGAAGCAAAACTCACCAAGACAGTACGGGCAGCACTGGCCCTTGCGCAAGACGGGCACCCTGCAGTTGGCAGGTGGGCAACGCTGAGAGAAACACTGAATGGTGCCGTTGTTGCAGATGCAGCTGGTGCAAGCGTTGGTCTTCCAAGAGTCTCCTGCCAGTAGCACGTCACCATCGTTGGTGATGCAGTACTCCTGCTGGCTGGTGTTCACTGGCAGTAGTGGACTCTGTGTCTCCTCTGTGGATGCATGGAAACGGCATTCAAACAGGATAAGGGGGCTCCGTCGAAGTCGGTTTTTGGTTACTCTTTAGTCCCGATTGTGTTGCTAACATGAGAATGTAATGGGATATATGATCATTCGAACTAAAACTGAGGAAGGCAAACTTCCAATTGATGGGGGAAAACATGCAAACTCCACACAGGAAGGCCGGAGCCGGAATCGAACACTGCACCACTGCACTGTGAGGCAGACATGCTAACCAGTCATCCAACGGGCTGCCCCTTAGCAGTACGTATTTAAAAATAAATAAATAAAAATGGAAAACTAATAAATTAATGGGTCAAGTCTAAGTCTGAATGGATTAATTAATGAAGCAAGCGGGCAAAGCCAAGACTAGAAGAATACATCAATTCAAGATGCTTCCCAAATGTTGAGTATAAACAAGGAATTTCAGCAGGCAGATGTTAATTCAGTCTGGGGCCTCATTCGCATATCTCATCCAATTCTCGAAGGGACAAAAAGTCTTGTCCTGACCCAAGCCTTGGCTCAAGACTGCCCACCGTCCACATCCATTATATGGCTTTTTTGAAGACAGATGCACCGATAAGGCGGGACTGACATTCTCCAAGAGAAACTCACAGGCACAGTCATACATTGCCGATTCGTAGGCCTCCTGCTTGAAAGCCGTTGCCACATCTTGTCACTGAGTGATTGAGACTCAAGCTGTAAATAAAGATCTACGTGTGGTTTTGGGTCAGTTTATACGTGGGACGTCGTTGACTCCTTGAGGAGCAGCACAGACCTGGCGAGACAAGTTGGAAAGAGATCGATGACAACAGCCAGTTCTCCATGTGTCTTGGCGGCACCCAGCTCATGACGGCTGTAAACTCTAAATCTCTTTTTAATCCAAAATGTGTCTCTCTACTCCAGCTATTGCCAACCAGTGTGATGTGGCAAAGAGAGCCACCCGGAGTTCAGGGACAGTGCCGGAGGGTGTTTTCCAACTACAGTGGGACCACACTCCTCAGTCCTCTTGGTATTCAGGGGTGCTGGAGAGGAGGGCCTGTCGGGAGGTCGAATCTTGGATTCACGAGGGCAATGGAGTTTTTCTAATTATCGATCAATCTTACGTTTCTACTCTCACCTAAGGTCACGAACTGTGGGTCCTGGCCGCAAGATACCGGATACAAGCGGACAAAATAAAATTGTTCCGCAGGGTGTCTGGGCTCTCCCTTAGAGGTAGGGTTGAGAAGTTTCATCATCCCAGAAAGACTCTGAGTTGAGTCACTGCTTTTCTACGGTGAGAGGAGCCAGAAAAGATGGCTTGGGCATCTGCTTAGGATGCCTTCTGTACGCCTTCCTCCCTGATGAGTCATGCCACATCGGTAGAAGGCTCAGTGGATGACTCCGAGCATGCTGGAGAGTCTGTATCTCCCGATTGGCCTGGGATTGCTTGGGTTTGAGTTGGAAAAAGTGGCTGGGCAGAGGCTCAAATTACTGCCCCTGGCGACTCAACCCCAGATACGCGGTAGAGAATGAATGGATGGATGGATTTATCAGAACTTGCTTCATATCTTTGATTATCTACACTCTCTATACCAATGAAATACAGCGACAAGCAGAAAAATGAAATGCTCCCCTGCTAGATCGCAGAATGCATTTCATTTACTTTGTGACATTTTGGTTTGATGTTAGGCCACAAGGTTTTTTTGGGGGAATAGAAAATTTGTGGTTCTCTAAAAGTTAGGAAACACTGCTATACTTAAGGCTTTTAACAACTTACCTAGACACACATGACAACAGGTGTCCTGGTTCTTGGTTGGTGTCTGGCACAGAGCCGGGGGACAAACTTCAGTGTCGCATAGGACACGCCCCTGTCTACAGGTACAACGTGTACACTCATCCAGGTCCCAGGTCTCCCCTTCCACGTAGAATTCCCCACCAGGGGCTCTGCACACCACCATGTCCATCCCCTCCGGCAGACCACTACCCGACTCGTCTGAAGTGTTGCAAGAGGAGAGAAATGGGGTCACGTTCAAACATGTTGAGAAGCATGAGTAACCAGGGATCCAGTAATCAGGAGCCCATAGCACTGGAAATTTTGTCCAGGTTGTGTTTTGATTCCAGCTGACATCTGCAAAGAGTTGGCAAGCTGTCTACGGGATGCAAAGTGGCGTCTAGAGGTGTCGACAATTTTATTTGTTGCCAAAACAGTGAAGCAATTGACTTGACGGCGAGTATCTTTGTGTTGTGCCTTAAATCAGGATTATTCTAAAAATTGATTAATCTGTAGAGTATTTTGTCAATCGATGAATCTGATTTATGAAAACAAAAACAAAAAAGTGGAGATTTCCTTCCCTTTATTCAACAACATGACATGATGTGACCTACACGGTGCAGAAAATGCACAAATATGAATTATGATTAGTCCCTGGTGTAGTCCATAACATGTCAGAAAATTGACCAAAATGTTTTTTTTCAAAGTAAATGTCGATGTTGGCAAATGTCTGAAAACAAAACAAAAACAAAAAAAAAACCTAAGATCAGTCTGCTTTCATGAAGGACTAGAGAAATCTGAGGATATTTACTATTGAGAGGACAATTTTGACCATTTAAAATCCAACAACGCTTCATGGGTTATGAGAAATAATTACCGACGACTTTGATAATCTATTAGGTGTCAACTGTTGCACATCTAATATTGTTAATGTTCAAATCTGGGCTCCAGCCTTCCTGTGTGGGGTTTGCATTTGCTTGCAAACTATATACAATGTATGTTAGGTATATTGACGACCAAATTATCTTTAAGTGTGAACGTGAGTGGTTGCATGTGCCCCGCGATTGGCTGGCAAACAGTCAAATCAGACAAAAGTCATCTGGGATGGGCTCCAGCACATCCGTCACCCTAATAAGGCGCAAGCTGTGTAAAAAAAAAAAAAAAGAAATGGATGGGTAGTTTGGGTAATTTAGTCTCATACCCTCACATGTAGGACAACACTGGTCAGGCTTCATGACTGGATGAGAGCAGCTGGGCACAGGACAGGTTATGAGCACGCACATCTCCCTTCCGGAATGACAGTAGCAGTCACGGCAGCCATCATGCCAGCTTTCGCCTTCCTCATAGCGGTTGCCGTTCGAAGTAAAGCAAAAGCCGGGAACTGGGATCAGGGCGGTGGTGCTCGGGGAATGGGCAGTATCTGGACAAGAAAAAGATTCACAACGGTCATTTTACTCTATGTTCAAAAGTATCCTATTATTGCCTTGGAGCGCTAACCTTCCCAAAGCCACCAGTCGATGGATTTAACCCAGACTAGCTTTTAGTGCCAGTTGGAATCCACTCGGATCAGGAAGAGAGCCAAACTGAAACTTCGCAGTTCAAGCACAAGTTGAGATGTGCCCTCTCTTTCATTTCCACCTGTTTGTTTGTTTTTTTCAAGAAATAATTTCTCAACACTGAATATTTTGACAAACCACATCAAGACGTTCCCCAGCTCTCCAAGTTTGTATCCTCCGTTTGTTTACACGAAAAGTCTGTGAATCTTTCTGTTTGTAAAGAGCCGGTAGAGCCAGTTGCACTGACACTAGCACATCTTGAGGTTGAAATATTTATAACACAGCTAAAAAAAATAAATAAAAAAAAATAAACACTTCCTGTAAAATGGAGGATAAATCAGTCCTCTGGATTTTAAGTTGGAGGTTGAGGGAATCTAATTAGACATTCAACCATAGCTACTGGATAAAGCCAAATACCAACCAAAAGCCCGAAAAGGCAAACATTTAAGTCTCCGCAGAGGAGCAGCCAGAGGTCACAGGAAATCAAAAGTACAGCTTTGTAGAACAAACTCACACATAGATTTTCGCCATCTTTCCATCCGTTTACTTTTATACTGACTCACAGTGGTGGAATTGTGCGCGTGAACAAGACGTGCTAACAATTTGACTGGATATTTATTATCCCGGAGCCCTAATGAAAACCCATTTTCAGACCGCTGGCCTGGGCTATTTGCGTCACGAAAAGCTGGGCTGGCTCGCAAACTCATTTTGCTGAATGCAACACTCTTATACCAAGCACAGAAATTGACGGTAGTTCAGACGATTGCAGGTGAAGTGCAAATATAAACAAGGACACGACGGGGCATTGCCAGGCATGTGAAATTTATACAATGGGGCGATAATACGCTACACTTAATATATTGTGATTATTAAGCTCTCCTTTCGAGCATTTTGCCACTGTAATGCCTAATGACAGCTACAAGGGACCACAAAGCTCTATCAAGCTGTGCAATTACTAATTCAGTGGTACCTCTATTTACGAAATTCATTGGTTCTGGCAGAAATTTCTTAACTAGAAAATTTTGGAAGTAGAGAAGCATTTTCCATGTAAATGACCTAATCCGTTCCAAGCCCAGCCAAAATTCAGACATAAATGTTGTCCAAAGCATAAAAACGCATCAAAATTTGTGTCCCTCTTAGCCAATGGGAAGCCAGGAAGATACTAAGCAATAGCCAATGGCAGAGCAGCTGTTGCGTTCATGAAACTCGGAGCTGCGACGAGCAGCCCATACTGTATTTTTACCTTTTGTATCTTGAAATTTCTTTCATAACAAGAGGCAATATTGTCTTGTTGAGGCGTTTCGTAACTTGAACATTTCGGATGAAGAGATGTTCGTAAATAGAAGTACCAATGTATTCGTGCTCTTAACACAGTTTGTGTGTACACATCACGGCACGCAACGAAGGCTATGCATTTTTTTGGGGGGGGGGGCATAATTTGTGCTTGCATTTTATCGCCAAATGCTTGACAATGCATTTGCAGTAAAATCATGTATTGTTCCTTGACTTGAGCAGGGGCAATACATTCCATTTTGCATTCTGTCCTTTAGTTTGAGGTACCTTTGCACATGCAGATCGAGCAGCCCTTCTTGTTCTTCCTATAGCCATCGCTGCAGTGCTTGTCGCAGGTGAAGGGGGGGCACTTGACACAGCGGCACATCTCACAGCCGTGCTTGTTGCGACTGTGGGGGTCACACACACACACACACAGACACACACACACACACTAGCCATAAAACACTAACACATGGATAAGTTTGAATGCCGTTGTGTTGTGTGGCACATAGCGAAGACCAGATGCCGGGCTCTGGTAGAACTGACATCTGGACCTGCTTTTCTTCATTTCTGTAATGGCTGCCTTTGAAGGAGGCCAAATAAAAAGACCAACATGAGAGATCCTTGTGGTTTGCACATCATACAAACCCAAGACGTAGTCGAAAATCCAATTCAGATGCTTTCAATTTAACCTGTTGCATCATTATTGCTCCTTAGGCCCCTGGCACTCTTCGTTAGAAAAGCGGCCCATAAAAAGCAATGAAGCCAATTGGATTGGGATTGTCGAGAGAAACGGTCAAAGATCGGCTTTCTTGTCAAATTGAGGTGGATTTTTTTGATTGACTGAAATCAGAAGAAAGTGTGGATCCAAATCTTATGGTATGTTTGGAATTAACTCGCATCTAAATATCCTCCTATTAAAACATGGACGAGCTGCAAGTTGATAAATTGTCAACGAAAAGGACTCGAAGTCTAATCAACACTCACGCTGCCCTCGATGGGACAAGCAGACAGTCGAAACAACAACTTGGAAAAAAACAAAAAACAAAACAACAAAAAACAAGCACTAATTGTTTTTAACGCCACTAAAAAGGAATGAGATTAAGACCAATCACAATCTGTGTGGAATGACTAGAACGTCCCACCCATTCCTTTTTCTATCGCTCTGATCCTGTTCAGAGTTGCAGGGAGCAAGAGTCTGTCCCAGCTGACGACAAGCGAAACGCAGACGACACACTGGACTGGTCACCAGTCCGTCACGGGACACAGATCGAGTCAAACAAACGTTTCCCTTCACATTCACGCAGTCACTACTTAGGGAACTTATCAGAGCAAAATTAGGCTAATGACAAATACAATTGGGCAGACCGACTGAGTGTATGAGACTGGTGTGATTTATCGTCGACATTCTGACATTTTGCGTTATATTTAGGTTTCGGTTGGACTTACTTTAAATACAGTGGCCGGTGCAAGTCCAGCACAAAGTGCTGTCAAACTGCGCGCTTGGTAATTTTCTTTGTTTACAAAAGTGTGTCTTTTCAAAAGGAAGCCCTGAGAATATCACTCAATCGCTCAGTCGTTCAATGTATCAATCCAGAGAAGAGAGATTGTGAGTCATCAGGGACATATTCGAACTATTGTTCTGTAACTTTAGACAAAACAAGACTCACCGCAAAACCTTGAAGAGGCTCCGGAAGAGTCGAAATTGTGCTAAAAAGGCACCAATTCAACATTGAGTAATTAAATGTATTCCTTTTATAAGGTACAACACCTTGTCGATATGGACCGTTAAATTGCGGTGTGTTGTATCACTTAAACTATAAAAAAGGGAGATCCACTGTGGTTTTGTGTCAAACTGCACGTGGGCTGAGGATAATGGACTAAAGCTGCTTGACAAAAAAAAAAAAAAAAAAAAAAAAAAAAAAAAAAACACAACATGAGACAGTTGCTTATGAAAGATGGACTTCGAACTCACTGCTGCTGATGTTCCAACTCATCCTTTTACCTTTCAGGCGCCAAGTGCAGATATGAATCAGGCCCTTCTTTGACCGCAGTTCCAACGTGGGCGTTTTTGGCAGCTCAAAACCATCCCAATGTGTATTATATTACACAATACGCTTTTTATCCTCGTGTATTTTTGATTGCGGTGTTGCAAGAGATTGAACAATTTGCAACATTGGGCGATTATCAAGGAAATGCGACAGCTTCCACATATTTCATCCACTCGGATGGGTTGAAGACGAGAGTTGCCGGGAGAGATGAGAGGCCTTGGATGGATGGACAAACCAATGGCAGAAATAGATTGCTTCGCTGGCATTTAAAATGTTTTAATTTTTTTTTTTTTTTTACTAAGATAAGAATTCCTCTTTTAACTTCAGCAGTTTACACATAAGCTGTGGTTAACGGGTGGGTTGGGGTGGGGGGCAGCTATGTAAATGTTGATGCACTTGGGAGACCTTAACGCCTTGTAAGACTGCACTACCCTCAGGTTTCCCTGCTTGAATGAGGTGCTTTGTATCACAACAAAGCGTCACACATTACGGACACGGCTAAAAAGGCCATATTGCACTCAAATACATCACAAGAATTCATCATCTTATATTTAGCATTTGACAATACCAATCTCACACCGCACCTCTGTCCACGTATTTTGGATGATTTTTTTTTTTTTCCTCCTCCAGGAATTGCAGTCGCACAGTCCATAGTTCAGTGTGGAGAATAATTATCCGACCGTGTCGCTCTCTTTCTATATTCCTGTTTGTAGCCTGTACCCAACTGTAGAAATAGACACTCATTGACAATTGTATAATTTCCCGCAGCGACCTTGATGATCTCTAACGGCATTCAGGCTAAGTGCCCTGGTTGGGAAGCGGCAGTGTGTTATTTATTTCGTCGCCGACTGAGTTATGTTGAGGACTATTGACGGCGCACAGCAGGATTTCTTGTACTGGCTGCGTTTATTCGTCTCAATCGGAAAGCCTGACGAAAATAGCAGCAAAAAATGTCCTCGTGTCAGTTTATGATACGGCGTGCCCCTACATAGTATTAAAATACTTAAAATTGCCCCCCCCCCCACCCCCACCCGCTGGAAAAATGCTTACCTCTCAATGGACATCAAGAGAAAACAGGGAAAGGAAAAGATTTTGTGTCATTCCAATCCAGCACAGTCATTTTTTACAATTTGTTTATGACTATAACCGATGTCTCGGGCGGATCATGACAACAACAGTTGACCTTTTTGAACAAGTCAAAAAGAAATATTACAATTGAGTTCAGTTATTGTGTGTGTGTGTGTGTGTGTGTGTGTGTGTGTGTACTCACACAAATCCATAGAGGCAGGTCTTGGTGCAGGTCAAAGGTCGGCACCTGGGCACAGGGACGCTGCACTCGCACACCTCGCAGCCAAAGACGTCCCTCTCATATCCCATGGGGCATTGCAGGGAACAATATTTTCCCAGGTCGGGGCAGGAGTCATCTGAAAGAGTTGAAGCGAAGGTCAGCTGATGACAGGCCCAAGTCGTCCATCAGAAGCACAGGCAGCAGTGACTACGGGGGGGGGCTCGCAGGCCACATTCTTGGGGACAGAGTTCGTCGCCATGGACACGGACAAGTTAGGATGGATATGAACTTGTATACACAGCTGTCAAAGCCGTAGGTCTCAAGTTCCCGTTGACAGAACTAATGCAAGAACATTGCAAGAACCGGCGTGCAAATATGCATCTATATGACAACAACTGAGTGCAAAATAAGGTTTTGACAAAAATGTCAAGCGTTGCTCATTCTGTGCAGGGGTAACTTCAAAAAAGGCTTTCATGGGTTCCGTGTCCGAACCCGTAATCCATGCCAGCATCCTGAAAATGTTTTTTAATGAAGAAAAATTGCATTGTATTGCATAAATGGGAAGTTCTCCATTGTGAGACAAATAAAGGTTTTTCTTATGTTATAAATACATCACAATAAAATTGCTGAAAATCAAGAAAGTGTCATTACTGTACGTTCTGTTGCATTAATGTATTGGAAAAATGTCACACGTGGATGTTAAGTGCGAGGAAATTCTTGATTGGCGCATAGTTGATGACAGCATGTCACCAAGATCTTATTACGACAAATTAATCATTTTGGAAATTGAGTAAAAACAAAAATGTCTATTTTAAAGCCTGTTTTCACATGTTCACAATTTCAGGCCGCAAAAGGCCACTTTATCTTAATGTAACTGCCTTTATCGGTTATTACTATCCTGTAAATGGACATGTTTGAGAAATTCCATGACACTCTTAACCAATTTCGTCCACCGTAAGCGACGAAAAGCAAACTTACTATTTAGACACTGGCAGAGCAGGCACCCATTGACGTCTTGATAGAAGCCATAAGGACAGTCGTTCTCGGAAAGGGTGCAGTTTTCCAGAGGAGGGCACAGCATGGGGCTGACCGTTTCATAGGAAGGTTCTGGAGAAAGAAAATCAAGATGGATGGGAGACCACATATTGAACCTACAGTGGTACCTCTACTTGCAAAATTAATTGTTTCTGGAAGAAATTTCTTAACTAGAGAATTTTGTAAGTCGGGACGCGTTTTCCATGTAAATGCCCTAATTCGTTCCAAGGCCCCCCAAAATTCAGACATAAATGTTTCCTAAAGCATAAAAATGCATCAAAATATGTAACAAATACATGTTACAATTAGATGATTGCACACTAAATGAGAGTTGCGCATAATGTAAAAAAAAAAACAAAGATTAAAGAAGAAAAATGATGGTCATTTAACTTTTAACTGCGTCCTCATCGTTTTTTGCCCTCTTTAGTTCATGTTCTCTCTCAGAAGTGGTTTTTGCCTGTTGTTTTGTAAAGAACTGATCCAAGGACGTTTGCTTTTGTCGGCTTTTAACAATCCTTCCAAAATGTCCAAGGTAAACATCAGCATAGTGAGTGATCACCCGACTGGTGAACACTTTTTCTGGGTGTTTCACATTTACGGAACGCTTCATGGCCTCAGGGGCGAATGACGAGGACGCTGCATAGACACATATCTATCTATTTATCTATCGACCTCTTAGCCAATGGGATGCCAGCATGATGCTCGGTAGTAGCCAATGGCAGAGCAGCTAAAAGTATGTTGCGTTCTGGAAACTCTGAACTGCGAGTAGGAGTCCATGCTGTATTTTTACCTTTCGTATCTTGAATTTTTTTTCGTAACAAGAGGCAATATTTTCCTGTTCAGATGTTTCGTAACTTGAAAATTTCGTATGTAGAGGTACCACTGGAAAAAGAAACAATTACAATATATTACCGGGCTTCCATTAGTTGTATTAGTGCTGCTATAGCATGTAGCAGGCTTTAAAAAAAAAAAATAAAATAAAATTATTACCCACTTTAAATCTCTACCACTTCAGACTTCTCTCATTTTCAAGAAAAAGAGTAATTGCAGATAAATCTAGACTGGAGGGCCACAGTAAAATACACGTCGGTGTTGTGATGAGAGCGAAGAGACAAAAGCACACAAAGTTCACGTGCTGTGAACGTCCTGTAAAACATCTCCTGCCACGCTCAAGTGGGAGGAACAGTGCAATGAGCTGTAACTAATTATGCGCACGCGCACACGCACAAATAAAGGAGGGATCCACGTCGGCTCTGCAGCACTCCTGTTTTTAAAGTGCTTTATGATGTGCCTCGCACACAGGTGGGTCTAATTTTGGCGGGCAAGAGTAATAAAAGGGACACAAAGAGCCCCACAGCTTGAAGAATGCTCTGTGGCCTCCGCTTTAATGAGCCCATGCCGACGTTGCCTCTGAAGTCAAACTGCAGGGTTAACGGGAGCCTGCAACACATGCTCACTTCATAAAGTCTTTGAACCGTATCGACGCAGGGTTCGAGAACGATAACAACACGTTTCACGGGTTGCTCTGTATACCTTCGCAGAAGGGGCAGCACTCGCCGGGGATCTTGACGGGATTCTGGCAGCTTTGCTTGCAGGCCATGGCCGTGCAGTGCGGCTCGCCATCCACACACTGGCAGAAGGTGCAGTCGTCCTCTTTCCACTGCTCCTCGTGGGCTCGCAGCTTGTTGTTCACCCAGCAGCTGGCCTTTGTGCTGTCTACCGAGAGGAGCTCCACATCTGGGCGGAAAGCGAGGGGAGACACAGGGGAGCAAAGAAAAAACTCATTCAGATATATGTGGTCGTTTGCTTTGGCGACCTTGGAGTGAGATTAAAAGCCAATGCCTCAGTCCGATGTACTGTATGTTGTGTGCCCCTACTGTAAGTAGCAGCCGGGAATATGATATTCCAAGGGGGGGGGAGCTAATAAGATGAGGAAACTGGCCAGACACCAAAAGCTATGAAGACGACGCTGTTGGATTTGGACGACTTCGGTTCCTGACTTATGAATGGATTTAACTTGAATGAGGGCTTGGAATGTGACCGTTTCATCATGCGGCCCTGAGATCCTTTCAACTTGGTGGGGGTAATCGTCGTAAATGCTTGGCTATGCTGAAAGCCGGGATGGCCAAGGTCCCTCATAATTTGACGACAAAGCAAAAAAAGAAGTGGTGGTCTATCGTCCAAAAGGTCTGGATCGGCAAGTTATGGGACAACATGAGACCTTTTTTTTCCCGTGGTGCAGAATATGCTTGGGCCATTTGATTTCATTCATTCGAAGGCTTTTTGTGACACAACTTGTTCACACAACCAAAAAGGTTACAACCGTTACGCTCTCTCACGACATATCGATTGCTTTCCAGGTCTCTCCGTTTCTTCAAATGGATGACCCAATGGATGGTCATTCCATTTTTAGCACTATAGTGCAACACTAACTGTGGTATGTTAATTTCCCTAGTTGGCAACTTTCTCCCACGGGGCACAGTTCAGCGCAGGGCGACCTGCTCCAGCTGGAGTCGCTGAATGAAGTGTGAAAGAAACTTAACAGTAGAAGTTATGTCAGTAAAATGTATTTTTTTTTTTTTTTTAAACACAGCTCACACTACTAATTAAATAATTCTATGCCCTTGCTACTGTTTGCAAGGTCATCATGGGTACAAAGTGACTCTTCAAGTCAGGAAATGTATCTATGAAGAAATGTGATGACGGAATTTCGCTTGTCGTGGCTGGTTGTGAATTTGACAATTTTACTTTGTTCCTTAAGAGCCAATGGACCATATGCACAGCAAAACATGAAGCATTTCCGGTGGAAAGGTCAAGTGGCGTAACAGTTTCCGCCATGAACATATTTCAAGGTAGTGGGACGCAATCTGATGGAAAAAGAACCTCCCAAAATAGCAATTCAACTCGGACTCGCATTGTAACTACAAAGAAGAAAGGAAGTTAGAGTTTCACCATTACAGCGAATTCAACAGTCGGTGGCGGTCGGAGCTCGAATTAGCTTTGTAGCCGCTCCACTCACAAAGCTGCCATCGTTCCAGCGGACAGCAGGTGAACTTTGATGTTGTCATTGTTAAGCACGATGCGTTTACCAGATGACCGGACGTTAACACGCCACCTTACTGCAAACTAAATGCTGTGAGCATTGAGTCTATTAAAGTTGATTTCAAAAACCCTGTTATGCTGAACTTGCATTGGAGTCCAGTGACTTGGTGACTACATTGCTCCAACCAGGAGAGCAACACCTACTGAACTGACAGATTGTTTGGCCTTGGTAGAGTCCAACGCTATGCTGTGTTCCATTCTAGATGACAATTTACTTTTTTTTTTCAAGAGAGTAAAATAATTGATCAAAAAACAGCATTTGATATTTCATTCAAGACTGAACTTCCTCGAGGCGGTTATGATTTAAAATTTTGTGCTTTTGGGTTTAAGATTGTTTGGCCTTGGTAGAGGCCAATGTTATGCTGTGTTCCATTCTAGATGACATCATTTGATATTTCATTCAAGACTGAACTTCCTCGCGGTTATGATTTAAAATTTTGTGTATTCTATTAAAAACAAAAAAAAAAATCTACCTATGCAGACAGGACAGCATTCGCCCTCAGGAATGTAGAAGTTCTCACAGTCGAGCTCAGCGCACTCCGCCTTGGAGCAGAAGGAGATTCCTCCCCGGCACTGGCACAGCCAGCAAGGGTCCATTCGGTACACTTCACCATCGGAGAACTCCTTTCCGTTGTGCACACACTTAGGGGACACTGAAGAGAGGAAACAAAAAAAAATGTATTTACGCTAAAAAGGTCCCTAAGCCGACAGTCAGGCAGTACTGGAGTTTGTCTTTTCATCACCATTTCATTTTCTTAACAAGTGCAGTGCACAAAAAAATGATTGACCTCTGTTGGCATTCATCGAAAGCAACTGGCACTGAGGGACACAATGATGGCTGAGGCTAACCATTTGGGTTGGCGTGGTGTGTGTTGGATAATAAAGCAAAGGCGACGGGGAGAACTTTCCTAGGGATCTGTTAAGCAGCGAAAGAGTGTCGGACGCTCGCTGTACAGAGTAAAAGAAAACAGAAGTGGTTCTGAGGTTTTGGCAGAAAGCCGCCTTGTGTGCTCGTGGCAAGGTGGAGTCAATCAGCCGTCTTTACTACAATATAACATTTCCTTGTGACACATGAATCTCCTGCCCCGGAAAATGATCAGTTAAGACTTCTCAATCAAGTTGGTAGTGATGAAAAGTCGGGTGACTCAGCATTGTGTGAACCGAATTCAACACACAGCCACCAGCATCAGATACAGATGATGGGATAAAAGACCATTTGCAGTCACAGAGGCTTCGCCGAACGACCTGAAATGAACAGAAGTTAACTCTACTGCAGCGGTCCCCAACCTATTTTTGCCCCACGGACCGGTTTATTTTCAGGGACCGGCCTTTAAGGTGTGGTGGATAAATACACCAAAATAATATGATATGACCTGCATGCATGAAAACGGTGGTATTTTCTAAACATAATCATAAACACGAATCATGACGATCTGGCCGCAACACTCTGTGGTCGCTATGGTAACATTTAAACATGCCTTCAGAATAAGACATGCCGCAAATACAAAGTGCATGAAAAATACGACTCACCATCGGCGCTTATTATGCAGAGTGGGCTTGGTGCGTGGGAATCACCCGTTGAGATAAATCCGTCTTTTAAGTCAGACTCCTGATACTATACTGGTCTATTAAATATAGCCTTCTTGGCCTTGAAAGTCGAAGGCTCCTCTCCTCTGTCTCCTGGCTGGGCCTTTTCCTCTTCCCAAAGAGGTTTGATTTCTTACTCATTTTGCGAGCTCCCGGGTTTCATTTTAGCGGTAACCTATCACGTGACCGCGTCAAGAGTCACATAATGTAAACGGATGTAACAGAGGATCCGGTAATTTTTCAAAATAAAACATTTTTCAGAGCCCGAAATAAATAAAACGGAAGTAATGTAAGTTATTTATTCTTTCTGTGCGGCCCGGTACCAAATGACCCACGGACCGGGGGTTGGGAACTGCTGCTCAACTGCTTAGCCTAAAGCCTAAATAACTGACCTGTACCCCCCACCACATTTTGACACCCTCTAAATAGATCCCACGATCCTCTTTTAGAATCATTGGTGGGTTGTCAATCTGCTATGACCATATTCACAGGGCTGAGAGTTCACACCCTCGCACCACCAAAAAAAAAAAAAAAAAACCTAAATGAGTTTTAATATTAGCAGCCAGAGTGAAAATCCCCAAGATAACGTACAGTAATGTTAAGATCGTGGTTCTGTGTGTTTCTTGCAGACCCTCAAGCTGAGCTCCATGAGAGCAATCAATCAGTGCGCTGCTGCGTTCAGCCTCCTTGCCCAGCGCCGACGTCAAGTTTCGGAAAACGAGTGTTGTCCTGAACTTCTACACCAGAAGCTGAGCACATGGGATGCGGAGGACGTACCCAAGCTAATTGTCAGTCCTCAACAGGCCTATCACAAACAAACAGAATCATTATGAACTTCTGTTCTCTTTTCCAGATAATCGCAACATGCACTCCTTTCCCAGCCAACAATGGCGCAACTCTGAAAACAGGTGGAACATGGTGTCACTGCAGCCCGCGGACCTGGACAAAACCCCACGGCCAAGTGGGACGAACCCAGAGCCAAGTGGGCAATGGAAACCTGGGAGTCATCCCAACAGTGGATACAATGTGCCAATGAAAGCATGTTGTGTTTAATTGTAGTCTCTGACATAGCCTTGGTCCTCAGGTTTCTTGCCAGTCCTTGACGACCTTTTGTTGACCTCGGAGGACGTACCCAAGCTAATTGTCAGTCTTCAACAGGCCTATCACAAACAAACAGAATCATTATTAACTTCTTTTCTCTTTTCCAGATAATCGCAACATGCACTCCTTTCCCAGCCAACAATGGCGCAACTCTGAAAACAGGTGGAACATGGTGTCACTGCAGCCCGCGGACCTGGACAAAACCCTACGGCCAAGTGGGACGAATCCAGAGCCAAGTGGGCAATGGAAACCTGGGAGTCATCCCAACAGTGGATACAATGTGCCAATGAAAGCATGTTGTGTTTAATTGTAGTCTCTGACATAGCCTTGGTCCTCAGGTTTCTTGCCAGTCCTTGACGACCTTTTGTTGACCTTTTCAACGTTATTTACAGTAAAAGCCCTTTTTGATTTCGCATCGCCTGGGTTGACCGAGGCTGTAATAAAGGCGGCAATGGAGGGGCTGCCATTCAGCCCCCGACAGCCTGCCGGACTCGATTACCCTCCCGACTGGCAGAATGAAGCACATAAAAAGCATTCCCATCAATGAACTGTTGAACCTTTTCCCTCTGGACGTGTGACCAGACAAGAACCCTTTGACACTGCACTTCTGTTGAACAAATTCATAGCCTAAGCACTTTCCTGGTCACTGGGTTTGTTAAGTCCATTAATTCCAGGACATGGCATCCATTTATACATGTGGAAGCGCCAGAATGGGAATTTGTTCTGTTGGTAAAACAGCGAATATGTGTTGAGAGCGCAGAGTAAACAGAGCACTCGCACGGGTCCCCTCCCAGCCTCATTGGCTCTCTTGGGGCCTGAAACATGAAGCAGGATTTGGAACTTCAATCTGAGTTTCCAGCAGTGTTGTGATGCTGGGCCGCTAAAAGCCTTTCAAAAAAAAAAAAAAAAAAACATAAGGGGAAAGCTGCACAAACAGCAGAAAGGTCTCCGAGGAAGTTACCCAAGACACTCATTGTATTTCCTGGATGAGCATTATATGAAAACTGTTAATGGACTGCAGGGGGAGTTTCTTGACTCATTCGTCTTTGTCAGCTCTGTTTAGTTGACTAAAAGACGGATTACAGAACTTTTAGTTGAGAGCCTGACATCATCAAGAGCTGTGTTGCATGATTTGTATTTATTCTCCACATGTCCCGAAATCATATTCTTGCTCTTGTGTATACTTTGCTGAATAATTTGAACAAATCATTGGCTCACTTACACCAGCTTCAGTCAAAGGTTTTCCTTGCGTGCCATAGTCTAACAGCTAAACTTTCCAATCAGTTATTTGGACAATTGACATTGGATTGTCATTTACGTGAATGTGTGAAACTCCTCTACAACGAAACCTACATGGGTGAAAATACCCCCTAGTGTAAAAAAATCTTCATGCATTAACACCATTCCCACTCTCCTGCCCCCCATACAACGAAAAAAACACCCTGTTGCGTTATACAAAATCTTTTTCTTTGCTCTTGCCTCACGATGAGAATCACTACAACGAAGTCTCATCCAACAGCGACCTCTACTGCTTCGTTCGGAAACCGCAACAGCAACCATCACACTGGTTTACACATGCGCAGTAGTCCAGGAAGTATTTGGGATTGTTAGTTTCAGACGCAGGAAGAACGTTGCATTGCTAAAATGGCTACAAAACGGACCTTTGGATGTCAAGGAGCTAAGACAAGAAGAGCTCTGACACTGGAAGAGAGGGTAAAAGTGATCAAAATGAAAGACGGAGGAAGCAAAATAAAAGACATCATCCAAGAAATTGATGTAAGTGAAAGTGAATGCTGATCGTAAGTTTCGCAATTTCTTTCCCTTTTTTTCTTTCTACACTGACTATATGAAGTGTCAAATAAGTGTATGCTCATACTTATGCACTATTGGAATAAAAATAAAGAGTACACATACGTTTGTGTGTGTGTGTGTGTGTGTGTGTGTGTTACATCTGAGATCAAATTTGCTACAGTGAAAAAAACCCTGTTGTGAAAAATTTCTTGCTGCAAACATGATTTCATTGTAGAGGAGTTTCACTGTATAACCGTGTGGGTCACAGTTGCCAGAATGCCTTCCAGTCCTGTCATATACTGTTACTGTTTTTTTTTAACTTATTTTACTTCAGTAGTTCCAATGTAGAGGGGTGAGAATAAACTTCTATCTACTGTAATCAGCAGCTATGTGTCATTTTGGTCAGCAGGGGGTGAGAAGGTGCACGAGAGAATAATTGTCCACAAGAAGGAGATGAATCTCTCACCTCCTCTGAGCATAACCACAACCCCCCAGCGGGAGAGCAGTCAGAACGGTTTGTGTAAAGTGCAGTTGGGTGGAATCACCTTTCTGGCACTCAAAGACATCGCAGCAGTCTCCAGGCTGACCACTGGCCTTGCTGAGTGGCACAGCACGCTGCCCGCTCGGGCAGTTGGGCCGGCGGCAGGCCCCAAAGTCGCAGGTGCACTGGGGTGAAATGGAGGGGCAGCAACCAGCAGGAGGTGTGTAGCTCTTGGTCAAGACGGAGCCTTTTGGGCATGATGACGCCTGGAGGGCAGGACAGGTAACGCTGGCGCACCTGAGTTCATCTGTAACGGACAGACATCAAGACACAGGAGGGTATAAGCGTGCATGAATAATACGCGGGAAATATACACTTGAAATATTTGCCACCTACAAAATAAATACGTGATTGACTATCGTCAAAGATTTGGTCGGATTTAGGACTCTTGGGCACATAACTAGATAGGTGTCTTGAACTAGGCTGTTGCGTCGCTGTGACCTTTTTCCGGGCTTTGCGTCTTCCTGTCTAGTGTAAGAATAGGACGCATTTTAGACAGAGTAGACCTTCTTTCGCATCTGGAAGAAAAAGGCCGCACGGCCGTGTGATGCGCTTTTTGGTAGTTAGTGTTAGCATAGCAGGCATTAAAAATAAGAGGCCCAGCAGAGGTTTGCAGGAAAACGTTCAACCTTAATACAAAGTAGATTTTGCTTTTGTGATATTTCATCCAGTCACTGATGGTGTCATGGTACATGCACCTGACTTTGATGCAGGCGGATTTTGGTTCAGTGATGGTGTGAATGTGAGAGTGAATGGGGTCTGTTTCTGCGAATGACTGGGTGTTGTCGATCTTTGGCCTGAATTCAGCTGGAACAGGCTCCAGCTGCCTGCAATCTTGAAGAGACTAATAGAAAATATGTAGGGTAGTATACAGTAGAACACAGGTGTCAAACTCGAGGCCCAGGGCAACAGATCCGGCCCGCCGCGTCAATTAATGTGGCCCCTATGAAAACAAATCAGGTGTGTCTTTGCTAAACTCTGTACCGAAATTGTCAGTTGTCATAAATAACGTTGAGATTTTGCAAACATTTTGTTACCCTGTTTACACTCACTTGAGCAATTATTTAACAAACTATTACAGTTGACTTGACTGATTTCAAAACTAGTAATCCATTGATCTGTTGTGTACAAGTAATAATGCGATGAAACATTTTTTTGTGGTTTCACTGTCCTAACGGCCCTCTGAGGGAAGATGTAACTCCAAAGTGTCCTGTGCCAAAAATGAGTTTGACACCTCTGCAGTAGAAGATAGATGGATGGACAGTCAGCCAGATCTTTAGTTTATTCTGCATCCAAACGAAGAAACTGGTAAAGGATCCTACACACATACACACGATTTAACAGAGCAAACAACATATATAAATAATTTGGCCGAAGATACTTGTCCCTTTTATCAAGAAAAATCCAGATTCATAGATCACTGTAGACAGGATGTTGGAGACCAATGAATGAACGTCCAACCAGATAAACCCACTCTGATCAAATGGCGAAAGTAGGAACGCAAGAGCCTCTTGTATAAATATTGGCTAGCTCACACCTCACACTCAGTCAAGTGACTCAACAAAGACGCTACACTCCAATTACGGCTCAAAACTCAAGTTCGCAACGCCATCCAACACAAACCCAACACACAGTCATTAGATCCACACTTCACTCTGTGACAGCTTTACGGCATCCTGTCAGGGAAACCAGTGCGCTACTTTTGACGTGACAAGGGCAGGCTTGCGCAGACCTCGTCAAAGGGGTCTGGGATCCAGACCCAGCATGACTGAACTGGATGGTAATCCAAGCAGCTCCTCAACAGAGCTTTTCTTCTTCTCCCTACTCGGCTTCACTTGGCATGCGTTGGTCTATACATTCACCAGAGCCAACATAATAGCTCTGATACCGCTTGTTAAGCGGGGAGGTGGGTGCAGGGCCACTGCAAATCTGGGCAAAGGGGCTGAAAGGGTGTATTTTGGAGGCTGTTCAGGAAAAAGAAAAAGTGGAAGGCCTCTGCACCAACATTGTTCGAGAACAGAATCTACCTTAGCAAGATTGGATTACCCCAACCAAATGGGACATTACATCTATTCTGGTCCTCGGTGCTGCAGTAATGTAAACAACGCTGGCCAAGAGTGCGATTGGGAGCACAGACTCATGTTTTGTCCTCTGATTGTCAATCACTTCATGAAGCAATTTCACAGATCCGCTCCTGTAACAGTACACAAACACTTTGCACGGTGAAAGGAAATCTGAAAATCGCAGCGGGAGCAGAGATGATGGATGACGAGAATGGGTCAATAGACAATGGCATTAAAATCTGGATTCTGAGTTAGTAGGTATGGGACATACTTGGAAAATTTGCTTGCACAAAGAGTGGATGGTTGGTGAGGGAGGTTAAATCCTTCACGCAGACTTTGTGTGATTATTTCGAGGGTTTTGGTTACATTTCCGGTTCTTGATCAGTGTCCCAGACTGGAGCACGCTCCATGGTGCATATTTCAAAAACCATCAAAGATGCCTCGTGAACTTTGCCGACGAAATAGGGCAACAGAATGGGATGGTGAGAAAACTTCCAGCCTCGAATCCTGATGACTTGGAACCTAGAAGATCCCACAGTCTTTTCCCCCAATCATCCATCCGGGAGGTGCTGGAGCCTATCCGAGCCGTCTTCGGGCAGTAGGCGGGGGACACCCTGAACCGGTTGCCAGCCATTCGCAGGGCACACACAGACGAACAACCATCCACACTCACACTAAGGGACAATTTTGAGTGTTCAATCAGCCTGCCATGCATGTTTTTGGAATGTGGGAGGAAACCGGAGTACCCAGAGAAAACCCACGCAGGCACGGGGAGCACACGCAAACTCATCATTCCAACCTTAAATGAAGCCATGTCGACTTCTGTATTTAGACTGGTGTGTGTGTGTGTGTGTGTGTGTGTGTGTGTGTGTGTGTGTGTGTGTGTGTGTGTGTGTGTGTGTGTGTGTTGGGGCACTGAAAGATGAAGATTGGAAAAACACTTGTTTGGTGGGGGCTTTGATAAATAGAGCGGGAGTGTAATTTATCTTTACTGTACCATTTATTCAGGGAGCTTGGGAAAATCGAGGACTGCCACAAAGCTCTCATTGAAAGGAGTCATAGAAACTCAGGGAAAAGCCCTGTATGCAATCATTTTTTACCTTATTCCTACAGCGGAGTTAAATTCGTGTCATTGGAACACTGACTGACTACAACGAAGTCTGCCACCCATCATTTCCAGACTGGTTTTGCATATGAAAACCTCATGTGGCACTAAGTCATTGAAAACGCTCTGGACTGATCCCGTTCTGCACTGAAAAAGAAAAAAAAGAAAAAAAAACACTTTCGATGTATTGTATGTCTCCTAGAGAATGTTGATTACTCTTTCACGCTGATAATAGCTGGGGTTAGAGTGCACTGGGAAAGGCAGCTGTCAGACACGCTATTGTTATTCAAATGAACTGAATAAATAGAGTTCATTTGCAAAAGCTTCCGCCCCTTGTGATTCTAATTAATATAATTTTCTGCCTCGCACATTTTCGAGCACAATAGCGGATGGGGAAAAGTCAATGGCAAATGGATTCTGTGCCGTTTGTGTTCTCTCGCTGGGCATGGATGGCTCTAATTAGAACCATTTTTGTCTTATAACAGTGGCCATACTCCAGTTTGCACAGACACAAAAGGCCTGATTTGGTATGCTTGATTAAGTGTCTCGGGCCGAAATCACATTTTGTGCCTTTGTTCGACGCCATCGTGGCAGAAAAGAATAGTAAGACGCCAGAACGTAAGCAGCAGAAATGAAAAATAAACCTGTCCCACACTCACAAGTCATGCAGAAAGATATCCGAAGCTGGTCTTGAAGGAGCTCGGATAAGAAAATTGCACCATTACCACGGAATGAGCTCTTTTGTCAACAATGCCCGTTTTTGGCATCTCAGCAGCTCATTGATGAAAGAAAAACATCTCCTTTCGAAATGTTTTTTTCCCGCCCCTCACTCCAAACAAGGGCACAAGGCAAGCAGTCTTTCCCCAAACCGGAGCGCTTCAGCCGGGCAGAGGAGACTTGTGTTGACAGCCTCCGTTTACTCATGGGGAAAAAAAAAAAAAAAAAAAAAGCGCACAATGAGAGTTCTGTTCACAACTGACTTTGGAACCAAGTCAGCATAGAACAACGCTGTCTCAGTCCAGCTGCTCTCTGTGGATTTATGGTCTATCCTAAGCTTTTTGAGACTTGCTCCACAATGGGTACACATCAGGGCATCTCGAGTGTAAAACTATGGGGGGGAGCTCGGCTTCATGCCCAACAAGAAGTTACAGCTGCGAGAGTTGGCATTGTTTTTCCTGTGTGTGAGCAAGCGTGAGGCCCACAGAGCAGGATACTAAAATTGAGACCATGGGCAGAAGCTTGTGGCCATGATAGTCTGAGCATCACCTGCCAACAGGCCCGACTGCTCATTATTTAGAGCAGGGATGTCCAAGTCCGGTCCTCGGGAGTCCATTTCCCGCTGCCGCACACCTGATTGACATGATCAGCTCATCAGCGATCTATTCACAAGCCAGATCCTTCATTTGAATCTGGTTGGAGATAGCGAAACATCTAAAACAGGTTTGATAGGGGGATCCTTAGGACTGGACTTGCAGACTCCTGACACACACACACTCCTTTAGAGATGATACTCTTCATCCATTATTTCAAGAAGCGCCTGTGATGGTCAGGTTTGACTTGGCTCAAGAAGAGGTCCGTGCGAAAGTGCGCGCATATGCTCCATTTGCTCACGTTTACAAAGTCAAGTCAATGGCAGTCAAGGAGCAGGACTTTTTATTATTATTTGCTTCAACACGAGTATCTTTCGGTCTCTCTTAATAGAACTCTAGTGTGGTTTCCCTCTTTGCGTGTTTCTGTTGGTCTAATGTGAAATAAGTTAACGCGACTTCAATTTCTTTGAGACCGAAAGCAAGCCGACCTTGATTAAAAACAAATTGGAGAATTATATCAGGTCACGGTGACATAACTCAGGTACCAAGTAAACAGATGAAACTGTTGACTGACTAGTCTTCAATCTTGCATTGTTTGTTGATGGCAAGTTTATAGCTCAAGATGACCCTTACAGCGGACAGAGTTTGTTGACACCGTCGATCACCTGCAATTCCTTGTGAGGATAAGCAGTACAGAACATGAAAGGATACATTATTAATGTTGTCAACAAAAGACACCATTTCACTCACTCACTCTGTACACTAAACTTCCCCCCTTGTCTAAATTCTTGTAACTAGCGATGAAATGAAACGGTTCCCAGTTTACCGATAAACCACGATAAAATTTCACACTGTTAGTCATCCCCTTTTAAATTGTACTGATCTTTTTGTTATTTGAAGACTCGATATAGGTGTCATTGTGAGTGTGAAAGATTTTGGTTGTCAGGAAGTCCCCTGAGAACATGACGATAAGCTGTATTGAAGATGGATGGCAGGATGTGCCATGTTTAGCTACAGAATAGCTATAACCCCCCCCCCCCCAGTGAATACTTCTCTGATAGTGTCACAAGCATTAATATCTTTCTAAAATCTGAATTTTGGATAGAGTTATCTATTTGTATATCAATGTTTGATTGTGAAGATGTACGTAACGTAGCCAGTGAGGCTAAAGCTAATGCTCCACTTCATCGGAAATATGAAATATATATAACGGTCAGGGTATTAAATCTGAATAGCAAACGGCAAAATCCACGCAGGATTGTAGCAGAGAGTGTGTGTGTGTGTGTGTGTGTGTGTGTCTGTGTTGCTGCTTTAGAGTGTATATTTGCTCATGCTGCTATCTGTGAGAGACCGATAAGGCTCCATTATTATGTGCAGCCAATTGTACGACTCCTCTGAAACATTGTTTGTGCTTATTCATATCAGCAAGAAAAAGGTGGGGAATTCCTTCCAAATAGCAGTCAGACGCCTTATCGGGAATTACACATAAACTCCCCTTGAGTGTAAAATGACCCAACGTCACCCTTCTAAGCAAGGGGCCTGACAGAAAAAAAAAAGTCATCAAAATGTTTGGCTTCACTCGAGATTTCCTATCTTGCAGTGTCTGCCCGCACCGCCCCCCTCATCATGTCCTCTTTAGTTTCAGACAGAAGGGAGTGTCTGCTCACCATGTTGCCTTGGACCGAATGTTTGCCGCCACATTACATCAGCGATTTGTAAAACAAAAGGAGAACAAGATTGCAGTGAAAATACAGTAAAAGAGGTCACTGAGCGCCGGCAGCAGCATGGTTGTGACACTTTGAAGTACAGTACACTGAAAATTAAAAAATGGTGTGTTGAATGTGCTCAATTTTATTTTATCAAGTGGCTGCAAACTATAGAATCATCTGCATTTAGATACATTTTTTTTAAAGTAGATGTATATTCTACTTAAAAAAATGTAACTGGATACAGATGATTTTATTTTGTGCAAACACTTGGTGAAAAATAAAATTGAGTACATTCAAGAAACCCTTACTTTCCAGTGTAATGACCGGATCTTTGGATTTCAAGCCTGCGAAGTCAATACAGCAACCAGCCATTCTAAGCACGTTTAAATGTCAATCTATGCCAGTAAGGTGAAAGAAGATAAGCGTGACTTCAGTATAGGATTTTTGTTTGGTGGGTTGTGTCCCAATATTTTTCTGATTTAAAATATGTACCTTGGCTCAATAACGGTTTAAGCAACCAGCTCCAATCTAGTTTTTGTCGGCAGTCTGACAACATCCTTCCATTTTGTACCGCATATCCTGTTGAGGGTGACAGCTGAGCCGCAGAATTATCCCAGCTGACTTTGGGTAAAAGGCTAGGTAAGACCCTTGCTCTGGCTGCCAGTCAACTGCAGAGCAGAATGACTGACAGGCCAAACCAAGTGGGTGGAAAGTGCATGGAGTGAGCTTTTGACTGATTTGTCTGGCTAGTTGCTTTGCATTCCTTCATCTTTGACACCGTTGAGATGAATACCATGTTTGTCAAACAAGAATCATCAGGATGGAGTTACTGTATCTCAACTAATCAATCAAGGCAAAAACTTCAGCGGGGGAGGGGGGCGGGGTAATGCAGAATTTAGGATATACTGTTTTTCTTTTCTCTAAAAACAGTCATGGATTTAGCCACTATGGGCGCTGGCAGGTTTTCAACCGTGACGTTCTGGTGCTGCGGCTTCAAGAGGAAGTACGTCTTGATGGCAAACAAAAGGAACATGTCTGACTGGGGCGCAGCAACAGACTAGATAATTATCACACATAGACACGTGCACAAACCCAGACGCGGAGGTTCAAATGCACACATTCAGTAGGCTATACAATGCGCAGCTGTGAGGAAGCACGTTTGGCTCTTAATGAGAAGCCATAAAAGTGTGTGCGTGACAGCATTCGTGTGTGTGTGCGCGCGTGCGTGGGTGATAAGCTGCTGAAAAATGTTGTTTATCCTTTTCACTGGTGTGAGTTGAAACTGTCATCGGTTGGGCTTCGGGGATGAAAGTTCTTTCATTGTCACTAGAGTTTTTAATGATGGTGCTTTTGATGAACAGAACTTCCTGGGGGAACAAACAACCGCCCTGAACTATGAGTCACAAAAAAAAAAGGGGGGGGGGCGGGGAGTTGTTTTTACTTGGCGTCTCGGTTGCAGTCCATAGCCAATGTCCAGTTGTTTATCTGACATAAGAACATTTTCAGTGCCAATGACCAGAGCTTTTCTCTTCACGCGGCAAAATCTTCCTGTTTTGTGCCCCTTTGACAATGTTGGCCCACGTCGCTCGCTTTCTTTTTGTTTGTCGGTTAGTCAGGATTACGCAAAAGCCGAGGCGGGGTGGCACATGTGTCTTTTGTGTTTGCGTGTGGCATTCATTAAAAGGCCGTTCATTGCCGTCGACCGCCTCCTGATGTCAAAGTGCTTGCAGCTCAGTGCAGAAACTTCTCTCCCCGATGCGGACGGACACACAACAAAGCTGACGGTTACCTGCGGCTTCCTGGCACTGGCTGCGGTTGATGTAGGCAAAGTGGTGGCCGCAGCTCTGAGATTCGCACATGCAGCCGCCAGCGGTCAGGTTACATCCAGAGAACATGCAGGCCGGGTTGGACGGTCCCACATACTTCTGCCCGTGCCTTTCCCGGGACTCTTGGTTTCGATTCTCTGGATGGATCCCCCACAGCCACGCAAGGAACAGTCATCGATGAGTCACAAGAAAAACCAGAAGTCTTAACGTGCGTGTCATCACTACGATAGCGTTGAGTAGCGTTAGTCACATCCGAGCAACATCTGTTGAGGATTAGGAGCTCGAAGATTGTTACGGCGCGATTTTAGAAACGACTTAACTGTGAACTATGAGCGGGGTGGCTCACCTGAACGGGCCTTCATGCATGTCTCCTGGTCTGGGAAGGTGAAAAATCCCAGGCAGGTGTGTCTGGCGTCACAAACACACTGATCTCCTTCTCTGTCGCAGCCCGTCGTCAGCGGGCATCGCTCGTCTTCCAGGCCGGCCTCCGGATAATCCGGAAGCACTGAAGATGAGAGTGGGGTGGGGAAAGGGTTGAGGACACGCAACATGAGCTTCTCATTTGAGCTCACTGCACGCTCACTGTCAATTTTCACTTTTGGATCAGAAATAGGCTGCCCGGTGGTCCAGCGGTTAGCGTGTTGACCTCACAGTGCAGAGGTCGTGGGTTCAATCCTGGCTCCGGCCTCCCTGTGTGGAGTTTGCATGTTCTCCTTGGGCCTGCATGGGTTTTCTCCGGGTACTCTGGTTTCCTCCCACATTCCAAAAACATGCATGGCAGGCCGACTGAACACTCTAAATCAGGGGTGTCAAACTCATTTTAGTCGCGGGCCAATTTTGAATCACGTCTTCCTCCGAGGGCCATTATGACGCAAAATTATTGCACAACAAAATAATAGATTACTAGTTTTCAAATCAATCAAGTAAATTATTATAGTTTGTTCAATTATTGTTCAAGTGGATGTAAACAGGGTAACAAAATTACAGTATTGCAGAATTTTGGTCCAGATTTTAGCAAGTTGACACACATGATTTGCTTTCGCGGGCCACATAAACCCCCATGATTGGCTTTCGCGGGCCACATAAAATGACCCGACGGGCCAGATCTGGCCCTCGGGCCCTGAGTTTGACACCAGTGCTCTAAATTTCCCCTAGGTGTGAGTTTGAGCGCGGATGGTTGTTCGTCTCTGCGTGCCCTGCGATTGGCTGGCAACCGGTTCAGGGTATTTCGAGATAAAATAAGTTTTCATTTCGTATTTTTACTCCGAGACTTTACAAGACCTAATTTGCTTGTGGCCTCCTTTGTAAGTTGCAACCCTCTACAGCTCAAGTGGCAAGTGTAATTCTGGGTTGCCCTTTCTCTTCACCCCCCATCCCCGCCCCCTTGTTGTGCCATGCTACTCCAACCATTGAAGCCATTCTATGCTTTTTGTTTTGTTTGGCACTCCCAGCGAGCGAATCTTGCTGCTTCCTAGAAACGCCTCCTCTGCACCAAGGCTGCTTGCAACCAACTCATTACTATAGATACCGTTCTTTTGCTAGGCACGCCTTCTCTACAGAAAATGGCGCATTCAGCCGAAGCCAAACTTGAACCAGCCTTCGCAATAGCATGGAGGGAATGACTGAGGGATGAGACACATTTCTGAAGAACCACCCAAAAAAAAAAACTGTAGGAATAAAGGGGGGCCCCCCAGAGAGGGCCCTCACATACACATTAGCCATAGTGTTCCGTTCCTCTGAATGCATGACGAAACACGACTGCATACAGCAAATTACCCTTCTTCATAGTTGTCAAAGATCAGCAAGAACGGCAACAGAATAAACAGGATGAGACAAAGTGTGACACTTTCCCAAGCATGTGGCTCCCATGCCTCATTAAAACCACGTTGAAGCACGATTTGAGCTTATTTTAACTCCCTGGCTTTCTTCCCCAAAAAGTTGGAATGACGCATTTTGTTCTGTAATGCTCAACTAAAATAGCCTTAGTTACTAAGAATCCTTTCTCTTCTCGGTTATTGTTTTCGTTTTGAGTGATCTGAATTAGCCGGAAAGCATGAATAGCTCTTTCCCAAAGTTCCGAATAGTTGCGTTGCTGATTCCTGAGTGACGACAGACGCTAACAAGCCTTGAACTGTGAGTGACTGAACGAGGAGACGACTTTACCTTTCTTTCACCTGAGTTAGTCTGCGCTGCTTAATAGCTCTCCCAGGCTGCCAGCAAAAGTCTTTTCAATAAACCAAACCCCAAAAAAACGCTCCCCGATTTCCTTTCACCTTGAAATGATCCTCGTCTCAACTTTTTTTTTTCCGTCCCAAGGTTTTCCAGTCACTAGCGAGGTGTTTTCTTATGAAATGGTAGGCACGAAGGTGCGCGGCTGTATTGGGGAGGTGGAGGGGTCATGGCACTTCGAAAAGGGTCGAAGCAGTCCAAACAGTCAATGAGAGACTGAACATTGTTTATGCAAAGCTTGCCTGACCACAGTCGAGTCTGACCTGCTTATCTGGGATCTGGCCTGGCATGACTCTGGCCAAGGCCCGTGGCTTCATCCCAAGGGGGATCCCTCTCTCAGCCACTCAGTCTGCTTGTCTTGGCATCCACAATCGGGATGAGAAAGCTGACCTCTAGAGGCCCTCTGGCTGATAGGGAGCTAAAAAGGAAGTCTTTGAAACATTAGATAATACCAGAGGAAGGGAGAAAGGGAAGGCATGTGAAGGAGGGTCGTTGGACATAGGGTCCGAGCTAGACAGGCATTCTGGGACAACATTTGGGGGAAAGGAAATGTGGGGAGAGCAAACGCTTTGACAGGAGAAACCTCCACGCAAATCATTTAGCGTCGACTGGATGATTTTCACCTGCCCGACAGGCAGAACACAGATAAGTCAAGAGGTCCCGATGACTCTTCTTTGAAGCATGTCGTTGTGTACTCAAGACACGGCACGCAAACGGAAGGGGCTGCATTTCTTTCGCATAGCTTGCATATTTTCTCTGCGCTCCGTGGAGACAATTTATCTGAAGAGCGATTTTCTTTTTACGAGCAACATTTTTTTTTTCTCATGCTAATGTAATCATTCCTGTTTATTATCCCTTTCAAAATACCTGTCATTAAGCACTTATTCCGTCATTTTTCGCATATTTCAATGGCGGCATCCTCTTGAACAGCAGGACCTTGTATTTGAACATGTCAAGATGATGTCAGAGAGCAGATTAAAATGGCAACCCATTTCAGGAACGTGCCCGGCATCACACCTGCGCTGTAACATTCTCGCTGTTCCACACTAAAACATTGTGACCACCCAGCACGCTGGCCAGAAAAGTAAGGGGATCAGAAAGTGGAAATATTTACCCCCTCCTGCTGATTGCAGGTCTAATCACTTGAAGACCTTTGGAGCTTGAGGAGGGGGGAAATCTGGGATCAGTCCTCAGCAGCCTGCCTACTGTGGCCCCTGAAAACTTATTGGGAGGTGTTGATTTATCCCCCCACCTCGAGCTGCATGCGTGTGTGTGTGTGTGTGTGTGTGTGTGTGTGTGTGTGTGTGTGTGTGTGTGTGTGTGTGTGACTTGAGGGTCAGCAGCATGCTCCAAGAACCCTGGAGCCACAGGACCAGAGCCACAACTCAATCAAAGGAGCCATTAAGGTGCCCTGGCTTTACCAGAGCTACTCATTTGAAGACGAGATGCCTACCAAACAGCGGCCTGATGAGAGTACGAGGCATAATCAAGAGCTGTGTCTCACGGGACGGCCTGTGGGTTGAGACCTTGACTTCAACCACCCTTACACGGGGACAATTGGGGGACTGCGTCAAGGGAAGCAGACACGTACTGAGAGATGTCGGTCCTCTTCAATCTTCCCCCGCACGGGGCTGGACGGAGCGCAGGTGAAGGATGGTCTGCTTGCTTGTTCATCAGAGGAAAGCCATTGCTACTTCATTTGTTTTGGATGTGGAGGAACCTGACACCCCAAACGTTGCTTTGAAGTGCACCAAGTTACACAAACACTGTCGAGAATGAGCACAACCCACAAGTAATGTAGTGTAGCGATAGAACAAATCCTCCCAACTATCAAAACGCTCCCATGCACCGTTGCACTCATTTCATCTCGTCTCAATTGACAACCTCGTGTGGTTTTTTTCAACAGCAAGACTTGACGCGGCTTTGAGTGCACGTAATTCAAATTTGCCAAACATATTGTCATGCTCTCCACTAGAGTGACTCAAGCCTCAAATGAAAAGAATGAGCAATAGAAGCTGGAACGTCTGCTGGCAGTGAAGAGCCCTTTCGAGCTGTGGAGCAGCTCCAAACAGACAGCGGGCACACACTCCTGGTTACGACTGCCAGGACTAGACTGGCTGATTTAAATATTGTAGCGCACACACTTGAGGCATAACTATAACAAAACGGGTACAACATGGGTTCATTTCCGCACCATCTGCCTAGTTATTGAACTCCATCTTGTTTCTACCTTTCCCAAAGTCAAAAAGGTTCTGTACAGACGCTCCCCGACTTACGAACGTTCGAGTTACGAACAACGGTACATACGAACATTTTTGCGGGTAGAGGTATGTCGAAAAATGTTCTCGGACAGAGATGCTGTAAGTTAGATTTTGTATTGCGCGCCTTTTTTCAGAGTACTGTAGTGCTTCTTTCCGCCGCTAATACCGACGTGAGGCGCTGTGAGAGGAGAAGGAGGAGGAGGAAACGCCTGTCCCCATGAAGAAATTCGAGACGGAACTCTTGGCCGAGGGGTTTTCGCTCATAGATAAAGCCATCGCACTCTTCGAGCAGCAAGACCCAAATATTGAACGTTGCACAAAGGTTGCAAATCAAATGAATGATGCCATACAGTGCTACTGCATCATTTATGAGAAAAAGAAGAAAACTGTGCAATCCTCCATCATCTCCTTAAGCCTTCGAGTACATCTTCCAAAAGTAAGTTAAACTTCATTTTATTATACTTATATAAACCTTAAACATACTTACATAAGCCTTAAACATACATTCCATACAAAATATAGCACTGAAGCAACTTACGAACGAATTCACCGAACGAACGATCCTTCGGAACGTATCTCGTTCGTAAGCTGGGGAGCGTGTGTATATTAAAACGATGTAAGGCTATTATCTCTGTGACAAGATATTGTCTAATGGCAGATACAATCAGATACTCCCGAGTCACCTTTTGTCCCAGAAGGTCCAAGGCTAATTAGACTTCGGGCTAATTGGACTTCAAAGCAAATGTACACAGAACGTGTCAAGGGTATACGAACAACATGTGAGAGGAACCATGGACTTCTTTTGAGTGCACATTTAATTTCAATCTACACTAGCGTCCTCTATACGGTAAAGCTAATAAGTGGATTCCAATGTCACCGTGACAGTGTCAGTGGAATGATCAGCATGAGGGTACTGCAGGGGGGAAAATTGTACTCCACAAGGTACAATGATGCACTTTTCTAATGTTGCACACATGGGTCAGTTTCTGTGTAAACTCATGTATTCAACACGACTCATAATTGTACTTTAAGGAAACTGGTGGGGAAAAAAAAGGTGCAGGTTCTGTATCTCACGTTGAAATGACAAGGGTGCAAAAGCAAACGGCTATTTATGGCGCCCCCAAAGGTGGTACCCCCTGTTCTATTTCTTTCAGTGCCGTGCTGACAGATCTCCGAACAAATACTGTCTGGAAATCCCAAGAGAAATAAAAAAATGACACTCAGGTACTCACTTTTACAGACCCCAATTTCAGGGATGAGGGCAGCCCCAGTCGAGTTGACAGAGGCGCATGTCAGCCCCAGGGAACAGTAGCCGAGGTTCCAGTCCGGCCCCCCGCACGGCTCCCACTCCAAGCGGGCACAGTGCTCGCAGCACCCGCAAGGATCCTTGGCCATGGTCCGACCACCATCGCAGCCTTGTGTCGCCTTGGCGTGGCATTTCCGGAGATGGCACGGCGTGCACTCGTGAGCTTCGAGCACCCGAACCAAACAGAACGCAGTCAACATCAAAACGGACCTCTTCAGCAACATCTTGCAAAAAAAAAAAAAAGAAAAAAAAAAGAAAGAAAAAAGAAAAAGTGAACCAAAAATAATCTCGCGTTGTCAAGCTTGTCAAATGATGAAGCAGCCACGGCGAACACTAAAAGTAAAAGTTGCTGTGAAGTCCTGCGTCTTCCCTCGCCGCCACACTTGAGTGGCACCTCGATCCAAATGAAGGTTCAACCACTGCAACGTAAACTTACGTCCCCCTCTAGAAGCTCATGTGATGAAACACGTGCGGGAATCCGAAAGCTCCCCTCGGACCCGCTGGTGCCTGCAGCCTGCTGACAGCCTCGACACGGGGAAGCAAACTGAAACCCAAATTGACACAGCAGGCATTTAGAAATTAGCGGTGTACCCCTCCCCCTGATTGACACCGGTACCGACCAGTCAACATGGAGCTAAAGTGAAGGGCGGACCGCGGCCCATGAACCAGCGATGCTACACTGAAGAACTTTCAATGAACTCATCAAGTGAGGAAATGAACAGAGGTGGCAAAAGTACTCAAACGCTGTACTTAAGTACTGTATAAGTACACATACTTGAGTAAAAACGATTTGGGATCACATGTAATAGGATTCAACTCCTTTACTCAAGTAAATGTTTTTTTTAAAGTACACTGAAATGTATGGAAACGTTGAAATAAAACGTAAAAAAGGAAATTTTATTTCTACTGTCAATAATATACTACATTGCTTGTTTTAATAACTTGGCACATAAAAAAAAATACATTGTACTCGTACTGAGAAGGAAAAAAAAACACTTGATGTAAAGCTAATGCTAACTATATTAAAAAACAGGAACAAAAAACACACGCATGTGTGTGTGTGTGTTTTCATTACACAGAATTACTTTGTTGCCAGAGTGGTTGTCAAGCTGGCCCAAGACAAAACAACCGCCACAAATAATTCCTGCATACATTTGTTAATACTTTATCAGTTCCTGTACCTCCACGTGCTTTTTTTCCCCCTCACATGCATGGGAAAGAGACAGCAAGGGGCGGCACTACCTCAATTGCCTACCCTGACCGCACATCGCTCCTTGCATTGTAGATTTTCAACTTGCAAAGTCAAGTGTACCAAAGCAGAACCATTGCAGGTCAACCCGAGTGTGAAGCCATTGTACACTTAAAGGTAATGTACAGTACTATGTATACGGAACTGCCTCCACTGACCATATACTATCTCCATCTCTTGTCACCAACCACCAAATTGTTCTTTATCAGTATCCAACAACAAAGCCATCGGTCTGTCAAAGCTGTGCAGTCAAACATGGCAGACACTATCGGGACCTTATCATTCCACAGCGATGCCTTTTGCGCAGCGCCAACGTGAGTTTATTTGTGTTTGTTGGTGTCCGATTGTGTATGCAGGTGGCTTTGGCACGGTGAAAGGTCACTGGGTGTTTGTAGAAGCTGTGTTTGTGTGCTTTCACTGGCAGATGTGCATGTGTGTGGGCACATCTGGAGGTTTGTTGTCACTATGTCACCTACATCGAACACGGGACATGAGCAACAGCAATGACAATTAAAGGGATACTTCACATATGTACGCCATTTGCAGCAGTCAAAGTTAATTTAATTTGTTGTCCATGATAGATTTGACAATGTTACTCTTGTTCATATGCATTTCATAACTTTGAAAAGGATTTTCAAAATAATATAGATGGCCACCATGTTCTTTGTCATGAGATAACCATCACGTGTCATTGTTGGACTAGACTGCGCAATGACATAGACACATCTGTAGCTCTCTCTCTCTCTCTATATATAAGATGATTTTAAGTACAGCCACACAACACATAGGTTGAAATGTCAAATGAATTGCTCCTAGGATAAGACTTATAACTTTTGTGGAAGCTAACAAAATAGTAAGAATCATAAAGGAGGGATCTGTGTGTTGGTGTTTTTTTAAATTCAATCACTAATCCCGACCTGATGTCATTGTGGATAAAAGTGTCATGACACAACTGCCTGGAGTCATCCTCTCCAACACAAACACAACATCGAGAAGAGCTGTTCTGCCGCGTGCATAATCAGCTCCTTTGCTTCACAACCATGCTCTTGTCCTCTGACTTATCCCTCCCTCCTCTCCTCACTTGCATCCCTCTTGTCACATCAGCCGACCGGCAGTTAGAAAGCCTTTGATGGTTGACGACACATCGCATGTGGAACTTGGAGAGCCTCCGTTTCCTGCGACATGTGGAGATTGCAGCCTGACCATGCTGACCTATTTGCTTGGGCGATAGGGGCCAGCTGGCAAATGTAAGAGGCCCTTCATGCGGCTATCATGGGCCATTGGTTTATGTTTAGCCAACAGAAAGGTCATGGTACCGCTTGTTCCCCTTTACCCGCTCACTGCTCTTCCAATTTCATTGAAAATTTATGTTTTGCGGTGGGACATTAGCTAACGGTGCAGCAACATGATTGAAACCTGATCAGCGTCAGTTTGACAGCCCTCTCCAAAAGGAGCGTCGTCCTCACATAGGGGTTTCGGACGAGAGTGAGACGCTCGAAGACGGGAAAGGTGGGGTCGGACAGGGCGTTAGCATGTTCTGAATAACTGTAGTGTGCATGTGCTAATGATGTTGTGAGTCACACAACTCTGGGAAAAACGAAATCAGTGTGAGGGCGCCAGGTTCACTCTCTCCAACGATGAGCTCCCCTGTGTGTTGAATGTGATCCAGGCTTGTGAAAACAGCTTCAGGTGGTCCGCATTCATGACTCCATCTGATGGAGATTAGGTGACCCCCCCCACCCCCCGCCCAACCCCCCCTTTGGTCCTGTTGCAACTGACTGCCAAGTCACAGTACACCCAGATGGCGTGGAAGCGTCACACTGGTGCTGAGGAGGTGTTTCAGGGTGTGGACGATGGGGTGTTGTCGGACTCACTGGCAGCAACACGGTGACACTTGGCTGAACGTGGAGTCAACTATGACGTGTTGAGGGCATGTTAAGTGGGCAGTATGCACCACACCTGATTACATCTGTCAGGGTGACACAACAAGCATCAGCCTATTGGTTGCCAAGGGGGAGGGGGGGGGGTGCTCGCTTCACGCCTTCCCATGTCTCTCTATGTGTCCTTTTTCTATCGCGCATATCCTCATTAGTGTCACAGATGAGTTGGAGCAGATCCAACTGGTCATTAACCAATCACAGGAAACATACATTGGATGCAGAAAGTCTACACACCCCAGTTGGAATGCCAAGTTCTTGTGGTGTCGAAAAAAGGCCGCAAGATCAATACTTTTTTCTTCTCACCAATAATGGGACTTATAAGTGACCAGTCGGTTTTTGTACCTTCAGCATCTGCTAGAAATCAATACAAGCCTACTAGAAAATCTGAAACTTCCTTTGCGTTAATCAGAGACACTTTAAATGGTTGTGCTGACTCCCATTTAACATGGATGAGATATGAATGCGATTGGTTCATTCTGTGTACAGCCGCATCACCGGCTGTGAAAGCGTGATATTTCTGTTCTTAATATTTACCTGCCCTCTCGAAAAAAATGTAATCGAGTTGTACAAGTTATAGCAAAAAGTGGAAAAAGGCATGATTTTTATAATAGCTTTTGCCCCCTTTAAAAAAAAAAAAAAATCTAAAGGACAGTTTATATATTGTACTGTGATTTACACTACATTATATTTACATTTATTCAATTACGGCCAAAACAAAATCACCATTAATTAAGTACAAAATAAATACTGTATGCTCCATATTTTTCCATTTACATACTTGTTTTGTCCAGTACGTTAAGTCATCATATAGTGCAAGATCTCAGCTCAGTGAGCAACAAAAGGACTACCGGTAACACCAGGAGAGTATTTTTGTTTCTCTTGTGTTTAAATTTTAAACAGATTGTGTTAGCAGATTCTACTATATTAAAAGCATATCATGAGAAAATGTTGAATTTGAAAAGCAAAGGAGATGTAAATAAACGATTGTGAAACACTGGTTGCGTTACCAAAGCCATAGATTCATAAATTAAATTATTTTATGACTACATTGGGTCTCCAGCTGTCTTCTCTCCAACTCAGAGAAACCTCCCATCGCAGACTTTCATCCAGGCCCAAGGCTGCAAGACAAAACAGATGATTTGTAATCTGTGAATTGGATTCATTGTTTCGGTCAAAAACGAGACAGAATTTAAATGCAGCAATAAAGCTGGGGACGGATGCCCCCCTCTTTGCACGCCATTGGACTGGACAAGTCACGATGTTAATTTTCACTCACTTTCAGTTCAAATGTACTCATATTCTTTGCAGACATTTATTTTTAAAAAAATATTAGAACATCAGTATGTCAAGCATTTAATCCCCTCAACCCCAAGATGTTTTTCTTTGTAACTCGAGGGACTGCACAGAAAAGGACTCCCACTGTATCTCATTTCAGGAAAATTCAGGAAAGAACTACATAACAGTCCTGCTGATTTTATTGTGGTATCATTGAGCTTTATAATCAAACTTCTTGCTCCCAGTGAGATGGTTTTCATGTGTAGCTTCCACTAATGTCGGAAAATGTCTGTAAATGGCTAAATAAGGCATCAATGACCTCACCTTCGATTGCTGCTTTCACCAGCTCGCTGAGTCATTATGAGTCAGCCCTGAGTCCCAAGAAAGGATACAAGGAATGCCCAAACTTGAGCATGGAAAACAACAAAAAAAAGCTGTTGTGTGTAAAGACAACAACAAGAGCCTATTGTTAACTGTGAAGCAGGCCAGAACAAACCAAGATCATTAACCACAAATATCTATTCTACGATAGACTAAAATATGACAAAACAAACCCCCTGAAAAAATGAGTAAAATGGTGAAGCACATAAATTGAGGCAGGAAAAGGCTGTATGATACAAATTCTAATCTGGTGTGCACAGAAAAAAAACAACAACACAAAGGCAGGAAGTTAAACAGTCAAATGAGGTAACTAGTTCCAAAGTAAAACAAGAAAAGACGAATTAGGAGCCTGAAGTCTCGGTCCGGGATGCATCGTGGGCGACTGGTTAACACGTCTGCCGACTGGTTAACCTCTTCCACCTCACAGTAAAACAACAAATAGATGGATAACTAGTTTTGATATCAGAAGTCAAGAATAATGGATTGTTCAAACATTGTATTTATTACATTATATATGGCATTTTGGTTCAGACTTTCGGAAGCATCATGGAAGTTGACATGCTTGAATTTCTTTCGAGGGCCACAAAAAAATGACGTGGCGGGCCAGATCTAGCCCCCGGGCCTTGACTTCGACACATGTGCTCTAAATTGTCCCGAGCTATGATTGTGAGTGTGAATGGTTGTTTGTCTATGTGTGCCATGCGATTGGCTGGCAACCTATTATCTGAAGTCACCTGGGATAGGCTTCAGCACGCCTTTGACTCTTATAAGGATGAATGGATGGATAGATGGAAGTGAAGGTCCCCTGGTGGTCATTGGATAAAGTGGGCCTCTTGTTGGTTTGAATCTGTTAATCTATATGTGATGAAAGTAATTCTTCAGCGGACTGTAATCATAAAGCACTCTTGTGTCGGACTGTGACAGCACCTGCCTGGTGTAATCTCCTCGTTCACGCATGGGATCATTATGCTATTGAACCAGTGAGTCTCTCAGGGTCTACAGTTACAGTCAATGAAAAGAGGACAACGGTTGCGACCCACATTTTCAAACTGATCTCTATGCTGCTTCAGAGGAAGTGCCTGGCTGGTGGAGAGTGGGGACGCGACTTGTCTTTTGACTTTAATTCTTGGATTTGGACTTCTTCAATTAATCCAACATTCGTGTTTTTGTCATGTGGGAGAAAGCCACAGAAAGTGACGAAAACTCAGTTCCACTCAAGAAGGCCGGATTTGAAATCCCAGCCTCAGAACAGTCAGGCATGTATTTTTCTCTGCTGACACAAATTTGTTTATTTATTTATGTTCATTGTAATCAAGATTTACTTGTTTCTAAATATTTTGTGTTTTATTTCTCAATCTATTTGATCCATGATGTTCTGGAGCTCTCCGCTTTTGAAATTCCAAATCATTGGCGAGTATGCAAAGCCGCTGCTTGCTAATTCAACCATATTATCAACTAATGCTAATCAAACTTGTTCTACCGCTACATCTGTGTAGTCTGGCGATAAATTCTGGCCATCGCTTGACAAAGGCTGATCAAGGAGCCTCGAGGGAACTCAGTGTCGCAGTGCGCATGATTGTAGCAGTTTCTGTTGGCTTTGGGCGAAAAGCTCCTTTGGTTAAAGGTGCCACATTTACAGGTGGACCTCCAGCTGGCAGAGGAATTCTACAACCTGTGTTTCAGCTGTAAACTTGACATAATTACAGTGCCGCTGACTCAAGTGCAGAGGTGAAACAACCACCTTACTGGGGGAAAATCATCAGTGCTGAATGTTATGTCTGGGATGGGGGATTCACCCCTTTCTTGGTGAGCGGCAGGAATGTCAAAAATGTGCTCGTTCACCTTCACGAAGGCCAACAGGGAGTTGACATCATTAGTTCGTGGCGTGTGGCTGCTTGTTGGGAAGCGAAAGGAAAGTGGATACAGGTCACAACGGGGGTGGGTATGTCTGTGGAGCTGTCCCTCGGCTCAATGAACAGGCGAGATGTTTTGTCTTGAAAGAGGTTTGCTAATAAAGACTTTTTAAAATGTCAAAAATGCATAGAAAAAAAGTACTAAGTACAGTACTTGATTAAAGTTCGCTCTAGTGTCTGTACACAATTACATAGTGTATGCTGAGACAAAATAACTGTCTGTCACTGGATTTGTTGCTTTAACAATGCTAATAAATGTGATAACATCCATGTATACCAAGAATGTCAATTAGCAATGTGTTGACCAAGACCAAACGGTTTGACTTATGAAAGAGGAATTACATTTTTTTAATGAACAAGTCAGTGGCTAGGTCTCATCAAAAACCAATAGAGCAGCTCGGAGTGGACCTCGATTAATTTTTCATCATAAAATTTTACCTGTCGTGGAGCAGTTTTCCGTTACAACATTCTTCACCACCAGATGGCAGTCATCGCTTAAGAGCACCTCCAAACCCAAGACTGTATTTCTGCATCAGAGAAGAAGAACGAGGTTGGTCCTGGCAAGTAACCAGAATCAAGTGAAGTTAAAAAAAAAAAGTGTCTTCGAGGTGAAATAGGAGCCAGATTACAAGTTCACTTTATTCAAACACAAGCCTATCTGCCTAGTTTGTTTACAGACGCTATCAGTCACGAAAGATTTTAAGGTGCACTACAACATGGCTACCCCCCCCCCCTTCCTAATTCTGTGACAGCCATGACTGCAAATACAGATAATGGAAATTACAGGGTGTTCATAAAGCCTTGGTACATGGTAAAAAAAAATACGTGCTTCTTCAAATAATATAATGTTATTGTATAATGTTGCTACGCATAATTGTGCTTGTTTGACCTATAAGACTAGCTACAGCAGTACATTTTTGGACTCTCTTTATCTACATTTATTTTTGTACTTGCAAACACTTTGTTTTTCTTCTTTCTACCCCCCAAATTTGCTGCGGTAGACTGTAAATTTCCCCAGTATGGGACAAATAGAAGATATCTTACATTTGGTTTTCATGATGCGCTGCCGCTATCTTGTGGTTTAATAGAGAAAGTGCAGCTAAGGAAGAGCGGGTCAATTGAGCACAGCCTCATTTCATCAAGTCGATTAAAAACAACAAAAATAATTGCTGATTCTATATCCTTGCGACTCATATCACACGTCAAGCAAGCAACATTTGAAGGAAGGAAGCCGTCATTCCTCACGGGCCATGGCTTTTTGTCACACTCTCTTCCTGTTTTTCTCTCCCCGCGAACCAATAACAAACAATACAAGGAAAGGGCTTCGCTCTTTGTCTAGACGGCGGCCCATCAGCTTCGTCTGATGTGATTCAGAGTGCGGCCCAACAACAACTATGATCTGTCTAGCTGAGGTCACTTGGAAGAAAGAAGTTTAGATTGCTTTACACGGCATGACCCCCCCCACCCCCAAAAAAAACCCATAACAAATCAAATCTGGTGAAGATCATATTACTCTGTCCATTGACAACAGGAAACCACCCCATTGCTGTCAGCCTCGGGGGCTCCGGGATAATAAGCCAAGAGAAAACACTTTACATAAAACTCCACAAAAAACGTTAGATGATAAGATTGCAGGCGATTAAGAAAAATATAAAGCGAATGATATTGGATGCAATGACGTGTTTTGTTAGATAGAGGGCAGAATGACACAGCTATCGCAGTACTCGAGTTTCTTCAGGTCACAATGCAAACAAAGTTAAACATATGAACCAGGGCACTTATAAAGCAAGATATCTATTCAATGACGCTAAAGTGATTTTGTGTTGTTTACATTTTTTAATTACCACCGCTGTTTTTTTTTTTTTTTATTCCGAACGGCATTGATTTGTTCAGTAGTCATCAGACTTAGGGTGTCTTCCAGACTGAAATGAGACTCGGTTGTCCCTGAGTCGTTATATGCATTTGAGTGTCAATCACAACAAGAATACTAAAATTGCACGCACAACCGCAAACACGTGTGTGTTGGTCTTCCAATACAAGAGCTGACAAGAACATGATGAATTTGATGCTTTCTGACTGACTCTTTTTGAAACTCAAACTAGACTAAAAGTTGACAGTAAACATCACTGTCCCGCCATGCAGGGTTCGCGTGCACGAGTGTGCGTGCGCGCGCGTGTGTGTGCGTGTGTGTAAGCCGGTGTCAAAGTTGGTATCAGGGCAGACTTTCTGGAGCCAACTCCCTTGCACCCTCTGACGACTTTAGACACTGGTCAGACCCACCTGGGGTCGACGCCATGATGGGAGGGGCAAAGTATGTGAGAGTTTGAAACAAGATCAGACAACACTTTGAGAGGTGACACACGCAGGAAGGTGAAAAAAGTGAGAGTAAGCGGAGGAGAGCGAAAAAAAGACAAAGGGAGCGAGGAAACTGCATGAGGGAGTGAGATGGAACAAAGACACAATAAAAGAGAGAGAACACTAAAAGTCTTGCCCGAGGCATCATTTGTGTGTCTGAGCTGGGTGCACGGAGGCCAAGAGCGGTGTCATACACAGCTGAACACATTCATTGTGAACACATACTGGCAGCCAACACACACATCTGGATTTCTCATAATGAAATGCAGTCGGCTGCAAAGTTTTCCTGAGCACAGATACAGTAGAAAACATATGACTATGCCTTGTTAAGATCGTTTAATTGGAACACAATCTGCAAGTTGGTGCATATGTAAAAGTTTGAACAACATGGACACAGAATACAGTATAGTGTCATCTGTAGTTAACAATGACAGTCATCTGGCGGGCTTGCACTTTGTTAGTAGTGGGAGAAGTGTTATGCAGCGAACCCGTTTATCGCAGGGATACGTTCCAGACCGTGCGCCCACTATCGGTGAAAATCTGTGCTATATGGAGATCATCCAAAAACATTTTAACCCTTTCAGGGACAGCGGTTACTGCAGTGGACAGCTTATCATCAGGTTATCAGGTTCCAGGGTGCATGAAAGGGTTAAAAAATAGTTTGACCTCTCTTGCGAGCTTTAAATGATTAAATCATATTCAAACAGAACTTTCCAACACACACACAAAACGCATGCATGAATTGTATAAAAAAATACAGCATCCATTGTAGTGTCTGTGGTTCAATACTCTATGTGCCTTTTAAGAGGCAGAAAGTGGCAGTAGTGAGGGGGGGGGGGGTCATGTGATATCATCAAGTGAGTGTCTGGGCGTGAACCGTGGCTGACAGCAGCTCCTGCGTAAGTGTGTTTGTTATCCTGAACAGGGTCAGGGAGGGTGATGGAAACTATCCCATTTAACTTCGGGTGAAAGGCGGACTAAACCCTAAATTGGTCACCCGTCAGTCGCAGGGCACATATAAAGACGAACAACTATTCACACCCACAACATCACTGAGTGGAAACCAATCCCACGCTGGCCCCTCACAAGTCAGGGGAGTGTACCACTAAACCGTCGGTGACTTAAATTACAATATTATTTGTAAATAATGAGTGTGTGTGTGTATAATGTTTTGTCTAAAAGTAGTGGAAGCAAGCAGTAGTCTGCATTCATCCGTCATGTCAGTCTAAAAATGTATTGATGGAATTTATAATGAACAACATGCCGGAACACACATGCTCACAACCCCACCCGCGGCCTCACACACACACACACACACACACACACACACACCCACACACACACACACACACACACACACACACACACACACACACACAAATTGCCAAGCTGCCCATGTGCAACATATCCTCCACTTTCCCCTCCTCTTTTCAACATCCTTGCACGATACACAAGAGTTGCACTCAGGTTACACGTCCAGGTTGGACCTCTCGATTGCTCCCTGGGGCTATTGGGAAGAGAAGCGGTGGAGGGTGAGAGGGGACAAGAGGGATGGGATGGAGGGGGTTGGGGTAGGGTGAAAAAAGAGGAGATGATGGAAGGAAGGTCCACAATAACAGTCTGTTTCCTTGCCTGTTGATGCCTGCAGCCTAACCTTACTGCACCTGTTGTGGAGCCTCACAGTAGCCGGACAGCGATATGGGTTGTACGAGTTTGGCTGGTGATCTCATGTGGCACCTGCATCGTGGGCCAAAGCCAGCTGGGAAGAAGCCAAGCCTGGATACAAACTTGATGCACTTTGTCAATATCCTTTCACACTCCCCGCGCACTTGACGACCTTTGTTGCCTCTCGATAAACCGGACAGCATGTGCGTGCTGGCTCGTATGTGCGAGTGCCCCTTTGCCCTCCAACTTACTGCACTAGGTAATTGGGTAAGTGTATAATAAGGTTGGTCATGGGTATCTGCAACCATGCAGCATGGGTTTCAAGTGGGATCCAGGCAGCAATTTGCAGAAGAATTTAGGATTGTGAGGGGAGGGACAATAAATCTGAGGAGCAATTTTGGAGTTCGGTTCGGGTAGGAGGAAAGTTCTAACAGACCTTCCTTACACTTTACAATTTGTAACTTTGTAAGTTTGTTATACTATGCATTTGGTATGTACTTGTATCATCCATCCATCCATTTTCTGATCCGCTTTCCTCAAAAAGGTTCGCGGGCGTGCTGGAGCCTCTGCCAGCTAACTTCGGGCAGTAGGCGGAGCACACCTTGAACTCCCAGCCAATCGCAGTGCACACACTGGCAAACAACCATTCATACTCACACCCACACCTCAAGACAATTTAGAGTGCTCCATTAATCTTCCATGCATGTTTTTGAAATGTGCGAGGAAACCGGAGTCACCGCAGAAAACCCACGCAGGCACGGTGAGAACATGCAAACACCACACAAGAAGGCCGGAGCCGGAATCGAACCCTGCACCTCTGCACTGTGAGGCGGATGTGCTAACCAGTCGTCCACCGTGTCGACATTATACTTGTATAATTTAGCGGATTCTTTTTTTTTTTTAACATGGTGGTGGGCTCCATCCAGCCTCCTAAATAGACTGCAAATGAAAAGCTAGTGAGATCAAAACAAGAGCTGCATGCCAACAAAGACAATAGCAAGGGTCATATTTCCTTTTATCAACTTCAGAGAGGGTCACTGGTGGACTGGAGCCTATCACAGCTATACCCTGGATTGGTCGCCAGCAATTACAGGGCATATAGAGTCAAACAACAATTCTTAAAGTCACATTCACACTTTATGGACAATTTAGATTCAACAATGAACCTATTATGCATCATTTTGGAAAGTGCTTGGAACTCGTAGTACCCTGAGGAAAACCAAGGAAGGACATGCAGGAAAAACAAGCAAACGTCACTTCGGCAAGTGAGAGCAGAGATTCGAAACCCAAACCTCAGAACTCTGAGGCAAGTGTGCTAATCATTGCAGCTTCTTTTTTCTCTTCTTTTTTTGCATTAAATAGAACAGTTCCCCAGTTCCCCCAGTTTAGAATTGTGTGTGTGTGTGTGTGTGTGTGTATACCAGTCTCTCTCTGATTGCCCAATTACAGGGGTTGCGTGACCACACCATAAAGAGCAACAAGCATAGCATTGGACCTTATCATCCCTCATTGCCTCTGCTCGTAACCGGAAATGAAGTAAGCAGGGCCGTTTAACTGCATCAACTCTCTGCGGGATTGTTTTCGACAGTGATGACATGTCCTCTCGTAGCAGCTAACCAAAACATAGTTTTGCGTAATTACACTTGCTTGATAAATCGTTTTTGTTTCCACTTGAGGATTCAATTGGAAGCTCGATATACAAGCTGGCCATGAGTTGACCGTGACACCGTGGGCTCTCTATGCATGCATTAACCACCCTACCAAGATGAATCCTGACACAGTAGATACATGGCAATTTGCCATGGACCTGTATTTAAGATGCAGATATTTGACTTTTGTTGACAGTTTAGCCTCAGAAAGATTTTCTGAGTTTAATCATTGTGAGGTGACCAGAGAAAGGTACAGTGAAACTTCTTCAGAATTTCTAATAAAATGACTTGCAAATCCTTTTCAACCGACATTCAATTGAATACACAATGAAGACAAGATATTTCATGTTCGAACGGATGATTTGGCAAACATTGAGTCATTTTGAATTTGATGCCTGCAACATGTTCCAAAAAAGCTTGGGCGGGGCGTGTTTACCACTGTGTTACATCACCATTGCTTTTAACAACGCTCATTTGGGAACTGAGCACACTAGTTGTTTTAGAGGTGGAATTTTCTCCCAGTCTTGTCTGATGTACAATTTCAGTTGCTCAACAGTCAAGAGTCGTATTTTGCGCCTCATAAAGTGCCCTGCATTTTTAATGGGGCACAGAACTCAGACTCTTTTACTATAAAGCCATCCTGATATAACACATGCAGTGTGGCTTGGCACTCACTGTCTTGTTGAAATAAGCAGGGACGTCTATAAAAAAAAGACGTTGCTTGGATGGCAGCATATGTTTCTCCGAAAACTGTGTACGTTTCTGCATTCATGGTACCTTCACAGTTGTACAACTTACCAATGCCATGGACACGAACACATCCCCATACCATCAGTGATGCTGACTTTTGACATTTGCGCCGATAACAATTTGGATGGTGCTTCCTTCTCCTCTTTGGCCCAGAGGACACAACCTGCATGATTTTCCAAAAAGAATTTGAAATGTGGGCTCGTCAGATCACAGGAGACTTTTCCACTTTGCTGCAGTCGATCACAGATGAGTTCAGTTCTAGCGAGGTCGGCGGCTTTTCTCGGTGTTGCTGATAAATGGCTTTCACTTAGAATGGTGTTAACTTGTGTTTGCAGACGTAGCAACAAAGTGCGTTGACTGACAATGGTTTTCTCAAGTCTTCCTGAGTCCATGTGGCAATGTCCTTTACAGAATGATGCTGTTTTTTTTTTTACTACAATGACACCTGAGGGGTCAAAGGTCACAAGCATTCAATGTTGGTTTTTGGCATTGCCATTTACATGCGGAGATTTCTCCAGATTTTCTGAATCTTTTGATGATACTATGGACCATAGATGATGAAATCCCTCAATTCCTTGCAATTGTACATTGAGCAGCATTGTTGTTGTTGGACTATTTGCTCATGCAGTTGTTCACAAAAGTGGTGAACCTCACCTCATCCTTGCCTGTGAACATCTTGTTTCCCTGCTGATCGTTGGTGGGTAGAGTTTGCTGCTGCACACCTGCGATCAGACTTCTAAGCCGGAAAAAGAAGCACTGAAAGAATACATCTCCACCTCCCTTGCGTCAAGGGCACATTCGTCTGTTGTTCTCACCGGTGGGGGCAGGTTTTGCTGTCTTTTTTACGGACAAAAAGGATAAAACCCTGAGGCCATTGATTGATTTCCGGCCCCTTAATGAAATCACCGTGAAGAACATATACTCATTGCTTCTGATGGATTCCACATTCGCTCCTCTGTAGTCAGCTTCGATTTGCTCCAAAGTGGACCTGTGCAATGCCAATTACTTGGTTAGGGTGATGGAGGGAGACATGCGGGAACAAGTTGAACATACCTGTGGGTCATTTTGAGTACCAGGTTAAGATTGATAGACGGATGTGCCGCGGGGCATGATAGATCAATTGTGTTTCATCTGTCTTGATGATATTTTGATCTTTTCAAGAAGTCTCCAAGAGCATCAGACACACGTCTGGTTGATGTTACAATGTCTGCAGGGGGAGAAAAAAACGGCTCTATTTAAAAGCAAGTCAGTTGTTGGGGTTCATTGTGAAGAAAGGTCAACTCAGAGTTGATCTGGCCAAAATACAGGCCGTGGTTGACTGGCCATCTCCTAGATCAAGGAAGCAATTGCAGAGGTTCTTGGATCTCCAATTTCTACAGGCAGTTCATCCGTCATTACAGCATGGTTGCTCAACCTCTAACAAGGTTTACATCCCAAAAGTTTTGGTGGATGGGTCTCTCCGCAAGGACATTGGGGACTACTCCGCATCATCAGTCTGCTCACGGAACAAGTCGCATCACCCGCTTCCCATCCCATTTCATCCTTGGTCTCATTTGGCCTTACACTTTGTAAACAGGACTTCCTCTGTCAAGGGACAAAACTGCTATTCTCAATGTGATGGATCATTTCTTAAAGATGGTCCATTTCGTTGCTCGGCCTGAACTTCTTTCAGCCACGGAGACCGCTGACATCCTGTTTTCCGCATGAACTTGGTCTCTGATTGGGGACTTCAATTCCTGTGTCCTGTTTGGAAGGCCTTCTGAAAAGGCCTTCGGAGCAAACTCCAACCTTTCTTTGAATTATCATCCCCAGACAAATGGTCGTACTGAAACAGGTCCTGGGAGATGCTCTCCGTTGTGTCTGCCATCAGCATCCCTCGTCGTGGTCTTCCTCACCTAACCTATCTTGGAATACGCCAACAATTCCCTCATCTGCTTAGCCACAGGAATGTTTCCATTCAAGGCGGTGTATGACTATCAACCACTGGTGTTCCCTTCCTGGGCAAGGTGTGTTTCCGCCCCATCTGTCCAGGTCCACCTTCATCGGGCACGTCGATTGTGGCGTGCACCAGGCCATACGACAGATCGAAATTGGCGGATTGCTGACAGGCTCCGGATCTCGTCTCCAACATAGCATCCTGGCCAGAAAGTATTAATTGGAATGAGGGTTTGGATTTGCCGAACCCCAGAACTCCTCAACACTTCAGTCCTGTTCGGCAGAAGGTGAGTGCTCCTATTTCAAGTAATTTTAGCACATAGTCACTGTCCTATGTGTATTTTTGTCACTTTTAGGTTAGACGGGGCATCTGAAACGAAGACATATTTTTCCCAGGACAGCGGCAATATGTGACATTTGTCAGACCATGACAAGGCATGGTCACCTGTGAACAGTGCAGAAATGATTCAGAGCCAAGAGACTGGCAACAAGCTGGTCAAGTAATGGGGCACAAGCTGTTGCACAAAGCAGCCACAAGTCCTCAAACAAGTGTTCACGTTGTTTCCTGACTCTCCTAAGGGTGTCTGTAGACATTAGCGCGTCTCTCACTTTTCCCTCGCTTTTACCAGGAAACACCTCTACTCACTCTGGAGCTCCTTTATGTAGCATGTTTCTTTTAATAAAATAGCCCCTCTTTCTATTTTACGCGATTAACTTTGGAGTATATGTCTTTTTTTCCCCTGTGTGCTCCCCTTCAAATCCCTTTCACCCTCCTCCTTTTCCTCCTT